TGAACAACAAACCGCTGACGACGACGATTGCACAATAACCGGCACAAACACCCCTCCAGGAAGTTTAACCCTCCGAAAAATCCATTCGATTGCGATAAATTCCCCGGCATTTTTACGACCCGGCAACCCGGGACCCGAGGGCCAAGTGCTCTACGGGAATGCAGGCGACAGAATATGGGGATATATCCATGGGGGCTGCGTTACAACCCCCGAAAACCGAAAACGTGTAACGCAATTTAAGGCCCTCTCAAAATTGGTAACATTTCAACGCGATATTTGGCTTAGCCCCCGTCTGCAAGTGGTGGCATGTGGCTCATTTGTTGTTTTCCCGGGTTTTCATGGGTGGATTTGGGTGGTGGTGCACTCGATGCGATAATTTACATGCAGACAATGTGCTCCGCTTTCATTTGGTGCCATTTTATGCGATTCGCATTCTAATTTATATAGTTTATTATGTTTTATTTTAATTTTATTTGCCCGCTGGTAGCCATTTAATTGCAGTCATAAATTTCGCGTAGCTCCCTTGCGGCTCGCTCTTTGTTTTTGCTTGTTTATATATTTTTTCTATGGTGATTTCGGGTTTCCCAGGACATTTATGACCTAGTTCTAACGCTATAAAGTAATAATGACAAAAATTGATTTTAATAACAGCTTATGAGTTATGTTTTGGCAGGCTTACATAATATTAGTGTTAGTAGAGCGGCCCTATAATAAATCAAAATTAATTGTACCCATTTTAGTTTTAAACATTTTCGGGGGATTTTCTTTGGGCTGGCCCCAAAAAGTCGGCAACACATTTTCAGCTTACTCACGTATTGCCTGCTGGAAACTTGAAATTGAAAAAAATGTCATCAGGGGGAGGCGAAGGGGGGAGAATCACGTATTAACTCGGCACATGTGTAAATCCAATTCAAAACATGCCACGTGCAACCTCCTCCTCACCCATTCTAAGCCAAAAAACTTTTGCCAGCCAATGCAGAAAATAAATTCTTCTCCGCTTTTTTCCTTTGTCCATGTTTGTTGGCAACTCTTGCTACAAAATACATATAACAAGTGAGTCACGATGCTGCACAGGGGTGAATAGAAATTTTGGTTGCTCAAGAAAGAAGCTGCACTCAGAAAAGTTCACTTAAAGTTGAGGGAACTAATGATACAAAAAAAAAAGATGAACATTTTTTTTACAACTTTCTAAAATTATATTTTTGCAGCTTTCTGTGTAATATCCCCATTTTTTTCTGTAATTACCTGTATTTTTTGAACAATTTATATTCCCAGTGTGCCTACATTTGTCACGCTTCCAGTAACAAAACCAACCGAAGAAAGCGAGTCTCCATTGTGTTTGATTTTGAAAAGAGAAAATAAAGGACGAGAGTAAATGATGCGGCGAGGAAAATGCAACATTTTCATTTATGCAAAATGGCAAAAAGCAGAAACGCCATCCCAATGGTATGGCTTAAATAAATATATAAGCATCAGGGAAATTGCACAAAGATGAAAATTGCGAATGTTTTTCTTTGTCCAGCTCTTCAGCAATGACCGTTCGTTCGCTCGGCCATTAAAGGAAAAACAGGGTAGTGGGTGTGGAAAATGCAGAAGGGGTTGTTCAGTTACTCAGAAAACGAGACAAATGAAGCAGAAGTGGATGGAAAAAAGCTGCTTGCCCATATAAATTAGCCGGAGTGGCCCACTTGAGCATGCCAAAGGCAATGTGTGAGTCTGGAATTGAGGGGGCGGAAAAACTTGAGGGGGAAAATGAGTTAAGGGGGTTCTGTGGGGTGCCAAGTACCATTTAGCATATTTTGTTGTACTTCTCCCTCTGTTTTTGGGACTCAAGTGAACTGGAGTCTGCGCCTTTAGAGCGGAAAAATAAGAAAACCCCAAGGACTGAGTCATCCGGAGTATGTGAAAGTGGAGAAGAAAGTATGAAAGACAGAGGGAACTGTGCTAACCAAATAAATGCAGTTGAGTGAAGTTTTTAATTTGCATTAACAGCAGGAGGGGGAGTGGAAAATAGGAAAAGGGAGCCACGCTATCTTTTTCTGCTGCCAGAGCAAAACATTTTAATTTTACGCCGGAACACACAAAGGAAATGCCAGGGACAAACACACATGCACTGGGAGAAAATCAAGATAATTTTGTGATATTAAAAATATTTTTAAATATTTAATTCCTTAAAATCATACATAAAAGAGAAATAAAATATTATATAAGTAAAGTTTTAAAAAAATGTAATTATAAACCTTCAAAAAAAATTTCCTCACTGAAAAATGGTTTTTCTTATAGTATTTTTTTTTTAATTCTTATTGTAGTTTATAATTTTTTTCTGTGTACCCACACACCTCTTGGCGCCCATAAAGTGGCTGTTTCATCTGCGTAAAAGTCGTGCGATCGCGACAAATTGCCCCAAGGACAGGGGCAAAGTTCTTGGGTCTATCTCCCCGACTGGCTCCCGAAAACAACGCCACCCACCCACCATAACAACCACCCCAAAAAACCCAACCACCCACTATATACCCCCCTTTCTGCTGCACCGCCAAAAGAAAAGGAAAATGCCCCAAGGAAGCCAGTGAAGAAAATAGCTGGAGCGGGAAAAAGAAATGTAAACATCTGCATTTATGACTTTTGCGGCGGGCTAATCTGATGTCGAGTATGTCAAAACAGGAAGGAGGAAGGAACTCCAGGGAGTGGCAGGATGGGTTGCCTTTGCCTTGGGTGCCCATTAACCCCCCCCCCCCCCCCCTTTTCTTCGAGGGGGGAGAAGACCACATGGCCCCCAGAACCCACAACAAACACGAAACAGGACTCCTGGTTGCCGAGCCGAGTGAAGATTGTAATTAACATAAAATTAATATCAACATGAGGCTGTGGCAAACGGAACAGGACTTACAGGATCATGGCTGACACTGTTTGGATTGCAGCTGGATTTTGTGTGACTTAGGTAGCAAAATGTGGGCAAACATCGGGTGTATTAGGTTTCAAGGATAGAATTCCCATTGCGCCTGTACAGCTTAAACCAGAATTGTATAATATTAGTAAATAATATTAAAAGAAGGAAATTACGTTTAGGATATGTGATTTAATTTCCAATTGATTTAAGCCTCTCTACAGTAGAAATTCAATCTATCATTATATCTAACCAGTTAAATGTGTTTTTAATTTATATAACCTCTCTCTCATAGATACAATCTATGAGATAGTATTTCAAAGTTGTCACTTTTGGTATATACTTACAATTACCAGGCTTGCTGCAGATGGTCAACTGATATTCACAGTTTACTGCCATTTCGCTGTCGCTTGGGCCATTGACATTACGCTGTTCGCAACGGCCATTATCAATTAAATCGGGTCAATTACTGGGCAGCGAGAAGAACGCGGATAAAGGCACATTCCCGCCCATTTGTAAACTGTGTTGTTGCAACACGTTTAATTACAAACAACGTCGACGCGAACAAATTGCAAACATTTTATTATTTTTGCATGGCAAACAGAGGCGGCAAAGGGACGGAAGGCCAAGGAACTGCGTTTCCCATTTCCCATTACCCGTTTCCCTTTACCCCTTACCCCATTTCCCTTTTGGCCAACTCGCGGTTGTGTTCAACAAAACGCAAAATTTGCTGAAAGGCGGCATAAATGTTAACGGTTCTACACATGTTAGATTCAACTGCAACACGCAAAGCTGCAAAAAGTTTACCTGCCCGCAGTCGGGAGCTGAAGTTAATGCACTAAAAAAACGTAAAAATAATTGCAATAATATATATTAAACTCCAAATTGGTGATTTTATTGAAGATACTACATATATTGAAAATATCTGATTCAATATTATAAGTTTCTTAAAGACCTTAAGTAGAAGATACAGGGATACATTACAAAAAAAATTTAAAAATATATTATCATAATTCAAATGGTTTCAATAAAAAATTAAGAATGTTTAACTTAAAACAAATATTTCTGGAATTCGTAAATTTATATTTAAATGATTATATGAACGATTTGAAATCTATCTTAATTTGAAATAAATTTCTCTGGACTCCTACTTTTTTTGTTAAGTGCCCTTTTGGCCTATAATTATGCTGCTTCCATGTGGCAGAATACCAGGCGCGACGCATTAAACAAGGGCCAGACAAAGGAGGCTTTTCTCTAGAGGATCGGTCTCTGTCTCGCCCATTCCCCAGCTGGATCCCCAATCCCCATCCCATCCCCATTCCCCCCGACGCATTTGTCTGTCTGGCAGCGGGTTTGCCTTAATTATGCGACAGCCAACAGTGCGAGCAGCAGCAACATGCTGCATGCTACTGCTACATGCAACAACCAGCAGCAATAGCAACACCAACGTACAACTTGCAACACCCAACGCCCAAAAGCAGCAACTCTCATGTGCCAAATTGGTTTACAGACACCATACTGCCTGCAATTTCTCCACCATTTCCCCTCCATTTCCCCCAGCGGATTGATTTATAGTTTTAACTCCCTTCATCCCTCTTCGGCCATTTTGGGAGTTGTAATCTTATTTAAATTGTTGCCAATTTGAACGCGTCAATTGGCCGTGGGCCAAAGTGGCAAAAACACCAGCAAACCCGTAGGTGACTAATTAAAATACGGCTCGGATTTGCGCTCGATGATTAATTATTTATGGTTTAAGTGGGTTTTTAAAATGTCATGCATTTTTAAAGCGCTTTGTGATTGATAATTGTCTGCATTACATAATCGAATGGGTAATTAAAAAGTATAATTACAATAAAATTGCGGGGATTTATTGGTTATTTCAGTATTCGATTAAGAACTTAGTTATTTTTAATCAGAATACAGAAACTTATATATATTGTTGAGAATCCACATGACATGCAATCGATTTGGCTTTTAAACAAGAAAATGTCATTAACCTGCGAGTGAAGCGCAAACTAACATTTAAATTTCCAAGCTATTTATTTTGGCAAACATTTATTGGATTTGTTCTCGCCACAACTAAATTTCACATTTATTTTCCCCTCTGTCATTGCAGACACAGCAAATCAGTGTCAATCAAACTGTGGGAAAACGACACGAATTTCCACAAATATGCGCCGGCAAATAGAATCGTCGGACGCTATAATGAGCCATATCAGCGAACAAACATTATCCACGCCGCCAGCCACTGGAATGGGAAATGGCCAAAACAATGAGCAGCAGCATCATCATCATCATCATCAGCAGCACTTGAGTAAATAGAAAATCAGTGTTCAGAATCAATACAAAATCAATATAAATAGTGCGGGACGATAGACAGAAATTGATTATCAACATTATTCGCTGTCGCTGTCGCGCAGAGCGATAAAAATCCGAGTAGCGGCAACAAAAGCCAAAGCCATTGGGGCATTGAAAGCCAAACAAAGCCGGAGTTCCCCAGCGAGAATGGGTGGCAAGCACCAGGGATCCGGGGCAGGAGGAGGAGTCTCCTCCGGCGGCGGGAGGCGGAGGCAGCCTCAACTCCAGCCTGTGCAACTCGGTGATGACGAGGCCACCACGGCCAGCAGCAGTCTCACCCAGCAGCAGCAGCAACTGCAGGCCAAGTACATCAAGTCGAAGCGCCACCAAAGCCGCTACACCAGCCTCCAGCATTCCGGCCACGATTCCGGCAGCTATCTGCACCTCAACTCGCTCTGGTCCATCTGGTATGGAGTGCTGCTCACCCTGTTCCAGGGTTACTTGGCCATGCACGGGGCCTACAGGTTCCTGGGTAAGTTTAAGTAGTGATTTCCTGGAGAAACTAATTATTTCCAGCTTTATTAATAGTATAATAGATGAGTCGGTAACCGTAAGATTAACAAGTTATCAGCACTTTCATATTACTTTGGTATACCTAACAAGTGGCACCATGCTTGAATTTGCCTTTTTCATTATCACTTTAACATTATTTAATAGTACAAACTACTCGTGTAAACTTATCCGTGAATATCAAATTGATCCTGTCATTTCTTTTCTGAGTCGGTAACCATAAGCTCTAAAAGTTATCAGCTTTTTCATATTACTTAGTTATACCTAACAATTGGTAGTATGCTTGAATTGCCTTTTTCACTATCAATTTAACATTATTCAATAGTACAAAGTATTCGAGTAAATTTACCCTTCAGTATTTCACTAATCTTGATATTTCCTTTCTTAGTGTTTTTTTAAGTAGTTATTTTTAAAGGCTGTTTTTTAACCGTCACATAATTTTAAATATTTCTAATTAAAATTATTGTATGATGATCTTTTTTGAGTTTTTTTTTATGGTTGTGAAACTAAATCAAAGCATTAAGTCAGCTAAAAAATTCGTAATTACTCTAATGATAACTTCATCACTTCTTAATTTAATCACATATTTTTTACCCTACAGGCTGCTCCCTGATACCCTGGAAAATCGAGCCCGTGGCCGAGCTGAATCTGCAGATTGTGCTCTCTGGCGTGGTGTTCATCCTGCTGCCGGTCTTTTTCACTTCGGCGGTGTTCAAGGTGAGTGGTTGGCTGTTGTGGTGGTCGCTTTGTCCAATGGGCTTTTAACCAGGATCATGGTCCTGCAATAATTAACTGTATACGAAAGAGTCCTTTATCTGCCTGCATGGGCATGTGTGTGTGTGTGTGTGAGGTTGCACTCAATAATTAAATTTTTTGTTGTCCCTGCCGCTGCAGTGGCTCCATTTTGCTGCTCTTTGTGTTTGTGTGAATTATTTTTAGTGGCATTATTCACGTTATTAAATTTATTTGCAAACAAAAACAAGAGGCAGCAGGACCAGGAGGAGCATACGCTATGGGTCCTTTTCAGGGGATCCGCAAAATGGCAGACAACACACAGATACACACATGCACTCGGGGTCCTTCCAAACACACACCACATTAAGAACATTTTATTGGTGTGTCCTGTGTGTTTGTGGCACCCTTTACCCCTGACCCTGGCCCAGTGTCTCTGTTTTTATCAGCATAATAAATGCAATTATGGTTTTCCCCTTTCAATTTCCCTCTGGCCAAGCCACAAGTTTAGTTCCAATACCTCGCATATAGTTGGTTTGTATTTTATTTATCATCTATTTATAAAAGAGTACGGCAGACGATGATGGCGAAAGCTCGATAGAAAAATACAATCACCGACAAACTGCATTTACTCCACCACCTTTTACTCTTTCACTCCTTGCCTCGGGTAAAAGCCACTTAAAATGAAAGACATATATGAAGAGGGGCACAGAAAGGGAGGTAAATGGCGCCTGCACTGGAAAAAAGATAACCTTTATAGAAAATACGGGTTTTCATTAAAACTTGGTAAAATCATAAATCAGCTATAAGAGGTCAAGGAACTGTATTTTATATTTAGACTTCAACTCTTCAACCAAAAATGGTCAGAATTTTGTTCGAAACACAGCTTAATATTGTCCAAATATGGAATGTCATACCGCGTTGAACTCGTTATAAAATTTCCAATCGATTGGCATTCAAACCTAGAAACTTTATTTTTTGACCATTTTTTGCAAAAAAATGTGATGAACCCCTTATGAAAAAATCAAAAATTGACCAAAATCTATATTTCCCAAAATCTACCCAGAAGTGGTGCAGTTCGTTAGCTTGGGTTGTTAGCTGATCAAAACAGTCATTCTTATTGCTCTGCCACTGTCTTTATAGAAATGACGGCAAAAAATCACACGAAAAAGTTCCTCATTTTGGCACAAATATTAAATCCCAATTTTCCATCAAAACATATCAGAATTTTGGTCGAAACAACGATAAATATTGTCCAAATATGGAATGTCATACCGCGTTGAACTCGTTATAAAATTTCCAATCGATTGGCATTCAAACCTAGAAACTTTATTTTTTGACCAATTTTTGCAAAAAAATGTCATGTAACCCTTATAAAAAAATCAAAGATTGACCAAACTGTATATTTCCAAATCCACCCAGAAGTGATGCATAATGTGAGCTAGGTTGTTAGCTGATCAAAACAGTCATTCTTATTGCGATTATTCCGAATTTTGGTCGAAACAACTATAAATATTGTCCATATATGGAATGTCATACCGCGTTGAACTCGTTATAAATTTCCAATCGATTGACATTCCAACCTAGAAACTTTATATTTCGAACCACAGCTAAATATTGCCCAAGTATGGAATGTCACACAGCATTGAACTCGTAAAAAAAATTTCAAATCGATTGGCGTTCAAACCTTAAACTTAATTTTTGACCATATTTTGGAATAAAATAAAGGTCTTAATAGATTTATAATATTTTCATTTTACATTAAAAGGCTATACAGCATTGGAAATGTTTGCATATTAATGAACGAGGCTATTGAAGCACAATGGTTTCTCAAGAGAATATAGTCAAGAGTAAAATAGAGGTCAGACAAGTTTGAGCTGCGGATTGTTATACACTTTCGAGTGATCCGAGATCCTAAATGAAGGCGTTGGGGTGTGGTGAGATGCAAAGACACTTGTTAGTGCTTGCTGTAGCGTTATAAGTTTGGATTCTGCACAGATTCTTGAAATTATAAGGGGAGTTAAATATATATACATTAATATTTAGAAAGAATAAAAGATTTCCATTTTTGTTTAAATTAAATTTAGTAGCTGGTTAAAGTTTAACTTAATTTGTAGTATTTTCCAAAGTGTGCTTTTCCTGCCACTTTTGGCTTGGTCTGCTGATGTGAATTCTGCTGTGGTGGCTGTCATTCCAGTTCTGTTTTTATACACCCTCTCCCTCTGAAAGTTTTCACAAATAATTGGCTTGTTTTTAAAACAAGCGAAATGAAAGGAAGCTGCCGGAATCTGGACAGGGAGACTGGGAGTTTGGGAGTGGCGATGGTGATGGCGATGGGATGGGCTCCAGTTTATGGCCCGCCACAGACTGTCCATTTGCTGTGACAGCAGACTGACCATAGATCCTATCACAGGATGTCTGCCAGCTGCAAGCGGCGTCACTTGTCCTCCACTATCCCCCACTCCCTTTGAGTCCCGAACGAATAATTCCATTAAGTATGGAACGTACCGCTTCAGAAAGAGTTGATTATATTATTCTGGAAGCAAGGGTAATGGTTTGGTAACGGAAATAGTGCTGGGCTAGACTTTTGGGCTTAAAATAAATGTTTAAAAGGATCTCTTTTAGGTAGATGTACTCATAAAACTCTGAAATAACTATTGTGGAAAGACTTTTAATTTAATTATCAAAAAATAAGTCTGGTGGGAAGTCTTTTGGACTTAGTATTAAAAAAGTTGCATACACATCCTCATTGTTTTTTAAGCCATATTCAATCAATAGGAATTTTTAGAGAGCAGCTTAAAATTCTCTAATATATATAGAATTTGAATGTATTTTTATTTCGTTTGCCAAAGCGGAAATAAAAATTCCACCTCAAAGCTCTCCAATTTTCCATTGATTTCCGAATTAATATTCATGGCTCTGGCAGAAAAATCTGTGCGTTGGCTTTTCGACACTACAAAAGAGTATACAAATTGTATGCAAATATTCCTTTTTACCGCCGCCAGACGACCGCAAAAGCGGCAGTGGCAGCATCAACAGTACGAACAACATCATCGGGAGCAGTCAAAAAATGCTGGCAAAAGCTGCCTATCAGTCAGCGGCCAGACAGAGGGCGATGAAAGCCGAGGAAATGGCGGGGAAATGGGGGAAATTCGGGGGAAAAACTACCGAGCAACCGAGTACCGAAAACCGCCAACGAGCTGAATGACAAAGGGAGCTGAAAAACACAGACAGCCGGGGGAAAGGGAAAGGTCCTCATCACACGTCGCCGAACGTTTAATAAAAGGCAGCAGCAACATCAACAGCAACGACAACGAACAGAAATTGGTTGCAAACTAAAATCCCAACATTGACCATTGAGGCGTGGCTATCAGGACTTTGGCAGGGACCAGGAACCAGGAACCAGGAACCAGACTACCGAAATCAGGACGAGCAACAGGAACAGAAACAGCAACAGAACAGAACAGAACAGGACCAGAAGTTCATAGTTTTGCTTAGTTCTTTTTTGTTTTTTCTATGCCAGCAGACCAACAGAGCAGTCACAATTACGTCCAACTCCTAGGGGTACGAGTATGTGTCGAGCGATAAGGCTTGCGGCAATTGGAAAGTGGGAAAAGTGGAGGAAAGTGGGCAAAAGCGGTGGCAAGCGGCCAAAAGCGCAGGGGCTGGCAAACTGTCACAGCCATAACAACGAGATGCGAAAACTTTGCGACTTTCATATTTGCACAGCATTCGAAATTAAACGAATGAAACGACGGGGTGGCAGAATAAACCGCACTCCATATGCGGCAAGTGCCCCTAACGAAATGGCTGACCAACATCAGGGGAGTTAGCCGAAGCGAAGAACTCTTCAATGCCGGAAAACTTTGGAACATATGGGGGTTATGGCTAATGTTTATTGGGTTGCTTATCTTTGTATAATTAAAGCAGGGTGCCTTGAAAGCGAACCCATTGGTTATTATAGTTTTTTGAAAATCGAATTCAATAGACAAATATTTTCTTGAAATTACAAATAATCAGAACTTTTCAATGCCGAAAAACTTAAGAACATAAGGAAGCTATGGCTAATTTTTTTAGGATGATTTCCCATGATTATTGAGCCAGGATTCCTTAATACCATTCCATATACCATTAATTACCATTGGTTATTATAAGCATGTTTGAAAATCGAATTCCATGGAATATTATTTTTATCTTAAGGCGAAAATCGATTATAATAAATATAATATATTCTGAAAATCTAAAATTAACAGAAATACTATCCAGGTCTCAAATTTATCTTAACTCATCTTAAGAACAGTAAGTTAAATTCTAAAAATTTCTGGAATTTTCTGTTGCTATAATTGATGACTTCCCATAATAACAGTTTAGCTTGCAAACTCCCATTTTCTTTTGAACCTCCAATTAAAATGAATTGCCAGCTCAAGGCTTAATGGAATCTGTAAGGCCTTATCAAGTCTAAGACATTAATGAACGGCTACACACAGAGACATGATTTAGAGTTGAAGGAGCCGCGAAATGTTGGCACATTTAAATGTATTATCCGCCCGGCACTCAGCTTCTAGACCATTTTACCCCACCCTGGTTGCACTTGGAATGCACTTCGCTTTTTCGCAAATTGCAATCATTGTTGCCCGAAACGAGGCGAAACCAAAACCAAACCAAACCGAACCAAACCAAACGAAACAAAACCGAAACCGGAGCGCAGGAAAACAAAGTGAACGAGTCGGGTTCCATTTTGTGCTCCTGGTGTTCTTGCCTCAGATCCTTATTCTGATTCTGATTCAGAACCAGCTCCTTCATCATGCTGATGTCTGCTTGTTTTTAATTTAAAAGCCCGACAGCTCGCATTTATTTATATATATATGTGTATGCACGTGATTTTAATGCTCTTTTTCGTTTTTTCCCCCAGTTTTTGCCAGCTCGCTGAAATAAATGTGGTGGGAGCGTGAGAATATATAGTATATGTTTATATATGGGAAATAATAGATGCATGTATATTGCACGGGTTCGCGTACATAAATATTTCATTTCGCCATTTGTCACGTGCAACGTTTCCTTTATTTGTTGCTGTTGTTCATGCGCCAACGCGTCGTATGCGCAATGCTTTGGTTTTTCTCACTCTGTCGCTCAAATCGCGATGTGTTCGCATTTTGAGGGCATAAAAAATGCATTAAAACACACACAAAAACCAGCCAAAAGCACTTTTTGTCTGCATTTTTGTTGCTGCTCTACACATGTTCAATTGAAGTTTTCTCACAGTTTTAGCGGTTTTTATTTGCACATGCCATACATATTTTTTATTAATTGCCCCCGGGAATCCCCTGGGATGAGTTCAGTTGGACTGGTGTGCGGTCAACCAAGGATATCGTCCTGACAGTCCCTCTGGTCGGCCAATTATGGAATGCCGAGTAATTTATTCAGTGATTGGTAGAAACGCAACCAAAGAAAATTCGATATAGTATTAAAAAAAGGCATAAATTAAATGTGTGATTTTAGGAAATTAAACTACCAATTATCATGGTTAGGAATGATTATTATTTCTGTTATTAATCAAAAATACCTTGGTGAAAGAGCCAGCCATTCATTTAAAAAAATTGTAACTTTTTCCTTTCATATTTTTTCCTTTTTATTTTCTGCACATTATTCAAACTTTGTATTTATTTACATGACAAAGCAAAATCAATGAATTAAAAGTTATTAAACATGAATCTATTTAAAGTTTAATGGGGCTTAAAACCCGTTAAACCTTGAATAATATATAACTCTATAATTTTTTTAAAATCCCAATATAATTTAATTTTAGTCGATTTAAGCTTTTGCTTAAATCTTCTTAGCTTTTGGGGCTATATTGTTTGTTTTCAACATATTGTGTTCAGCAGTTACGATGTTGCTGGCATTTCAGTTTGCTTAAGTAATTCCACCGCATATTTGGGGAAAATTAAATTGCATATGCATGCACATTTGGCAGGAAGTTGAGTGAGTCTTGGGAAATTTTCAATTTCCGCCCGTGAGGCAGAAGCGAAAGCGAGGTCGAATCAATAAGGCAGTCATTGCCAGGTACTTGGTTCTGCTTAAGTTAATCCACCTGAGCTGGAAGATCATTTGCATACGAGAACCATATTTCCCTCGACCTCCTTTCCAACCCACTGAATCAGTTGGGAACTCTGTTATATATGTATATTTCATTTTAATAATGGCGCATTTTGTGTGTGGACTACTCGACAGGTTGGCAACTTGGCAAACGACGGCATTAAATTGGCCACCGGTGCCAGGGAAAGGCGCTGCACCCTTTCGCCGCACGATGGCCTGGAGGAGGAGTCGCGGGGCGGAACCCTGCGAGCCCTCTGGACCCACGGCGGACCCACGGCGGCCTTCGTCCACATCCTGATTGCCCTCTGCCTGCTGCTGCCGCGTCTGCTGCTCGAGGCTCGCATCATCGAGAACGGATTGCTGCCAAAAGGTGAGTTTAATTAACCAAAAGCATCGCACATCGCACACACTGAATGGGCGAAATCAGAAGCGGAAGGCGCTCATAAGTATGCAACAGAAGCGATGCAGGAAGCGGACGCCATGTTGCTTTATTTGCAGGTGTGCACTTCCGGTTCCTGAATTTCGGCCATAGAAAGCGTAATTCGTTCTTTATTTTCTTATTTTTTTCTTTCCAAAATGATTATCACTTTTATGTATTAAGAATTATCTGGATTAAAGTTTTGTTTCCAATTTGGAGTAAATTTATATTCAATACCTATTGACCTGTACCACACTACTGAGCACTCTATTTATAGACATGGACAACGTAATTTATTCTATATTTTCTTAATTAATTCTTTAAAAAATGATTGTCAAAGCTGTTCTGTAAATTATGTTTTACACATAAAAAAATAACTCGACCAGAGTTTTGTTTCCACTAGGAATCCTTTTATTTCCTATACCCATTATTCTTTACTAGTATCAAACAACAGAGCACTCTATTTTTTATGATTTTTCATTCAAAGTTTATGGTGTTTTCAAAACAATTTGCTTCAATGCCAAACCACTACTAGGAAAACGGTTTCCAAAAGCGTACTCAAACTTTCGGTACCCAGGAGTCACTTTATGGCAATTTTTTATTGCCTGTCGATTATGCACTTCCTGCGGAAAAGGAAATCCTGGGGGAGGGGGGTTGTGGGAGAATAACCCGCGCACTTTGTTGCCGAGCACGAATTGCATTTATCCCCACTTTCATTGTTGTCAAGCATACGCCACGTTGTACATTGTCATATTGATGGTGCGATGACACTGCCGCCGTCGCTGATGACAACTATTAAAATGAACATGACTGCCTGCTGATGTTTCCCGGCCTGCGAAATGGGCGTTGCTGTGGGCGGGGCTTAAATCAATCATAATTTCCATTGTCCATGCAATCAATTCACAATTGCGTTTGCCATTCCGTGTTTTAATTCAATTTATTGTCCTTAAAACGAACTGCAATTGGCTGCAATACCCATTCGGCACTCAGGGGGTAGAAAATCAGAGCAGGCCAATTTAAATTCGTTGCCATATGTGTGGGCCATGGGCAAAATGTTTAACCAAGAAGTTTAGTAGTAGGATGCTCTGAAGGACGCTTAACAAAGTGAACTTGGGGGAATATCCGGGGGCAGGTCCAACAAAAAAAAATTCCAAGGAGCACAAAGCTGGAACGGCAGCTTCAAAGGCAATCGCTGGGGAAATCTGCTGGCCAAACATCTACAGTGTATATACATATGTATATATCTTTGTATGGTGGCATGCACCAGCGCTCGGCAAACAAAAACACAAACGAACGAGCGAGCATACAGGCTAACAACCGCAGGAGTAAACACCAGTCACACACACACACTCATACACCGAAAACAGGACGGGTAAAAGGACGAGCAAGGGGTGGTAACAGGTTGACAGGGAGGAGAAAGGCACCCATTATGGCCAGCAATAAGCCATGTTAATAACAAGGCAGCAGCAATGGCAACGGCAACGGCAGCGGAAGCCAGCCAAGCGACCCAAAACTGTGCAAATGTTGGCCAACTGTGAGCAGGACACCAGTCGAATGAGTCCTGGGCCACATCGACAGGCCTCTGTTTGCATATCATCCCAGGACCAGGAGCAGGAGCAGGAGGAGCATCAGGAGCAGGTCCAGGAGCTCCTCATGCACTGTTTGCCCCTCTGTGTACAGTTGAATCTCACATGAGGCCGTCGTCGCACAGCACAGTAAACTAATTCCACAGTTAATGACAGGCCGGTAAAAGTAATCGCGGGGAACTTACCAGAGGTTGGATACCAGAGAATGGAGATGTCACCAAAAAATTTAGAAATACTTGCCTCTTAGTTTAAAAAAGTTCTAAAATTTTTGAAGGTTAGCGAAAAATATTTTTCAAATGTTTTTTAAGTAACATTGGTCACACTATACAGCAGCTCAATGTACACTGTTCGTGTGGCGGCAGTATCTCTGCTTATTGGGAGGCCGCCACCCGCTGGTTAGGATCAAAAATAAAATAAACAAAAATCTTTAACAACCTGCATTACAAAAGTTATAATTATAGCCACTTACCATAAAACGGTTAATCCTGTATTTTAACTTCCTAAGCCGCTTTACAAAGTACACCTACCCTTTTAAGCCAAAACTTTCTCTAAATGGCCACGAATGGATGGCTAGAATTGCAAAAGCGGGGGGCGAAAAAAAACGCGACGGTTGAAACAATGATGGAAAGCTATTGCAGTAGAATCGGCAGGCAAATCAAAATTTACTACACTTAAAGTGGCTACGAGTCGAAGTCCCCGGCCAGCAGTTGGTCCGGAATTGTTGGCCGGTTTATTGAACTACTGGGAGCTGGGGAACAGAAGTGAATCAGTGGATGGGAAACGTGGCATGGGAAAGAAGACAATGGCATCCATCCACATCGACGGTCCATCGTTTCCACGCGGACTAAATTAAAAATGTGGCAGCGATGGGTTGCATTGGCATCATAAAAACCATGACGAGATGGGTTTAAATCCTCGCTGACTGACTCACTGACTGACTGACTTGCATGCTGGGTCCCACCTACTCCTATGTGATTTTTCAATTAATTTCGTTGTCGCCGCTTTTTTTTCTCTCCCTGTTTTCCTGGTTCGATGCCACAAAGTCGAACTCTTGTCGCTGACAGACATTCAATGGCGGTCGATCCATGCAATCCATGTGCTGGGGGTGGGCGGGAAATTGTTTTTCCACCCGCTCTTAAATTAGAAAATCATTGGCACAAATAAAATGTGCAGTCAGAGCTAAAGTTGTACTTGGCCAAAGGGTGGGGGCAAATCGAGGGGTCAAGGGGCCAGCTGGTCAAGCTAAGTGCAACGCCTTGTCTCGCGACTTCTTTTCGCCATTTTCACGCTCGACTGACTGGCTGGCTTTTCTCCATTTTCTCCTTTTTCCATTTTTCCCCTCCTTTTCCTTTTGTCCCCTGCAATTTGTCAACGCCTCTGACATCCTTAAAGACTTAAGCTGGCCAAGATGGGCCTGTCGGCCCGGCTGATGATGATGCGCTTATGCCTGTAAGTTGGAGAATTATGATTCTCAGCCAGCAATTAGAAATTTTCTGCATTTTCCCGATTGACAGCCAATGATTGGAAAGGGGCGCAAAAAACTAATAAGTGGGTGGGCTTAGAACTTTTGTATTATCATAAAATCGGGACCACAGAGAGATGAAGCAATTAGGCGGAGAAAATCATAAAAAATGCTTTTAAAAGTTTCGACCAACTCGCATAAAAAAGCTGCAGGGGAAAAGCCATCAAAGGAGTGGAAAATAAGGCCACAAATGCATTTCATGATTATGTTTCATAAATTCAGCAAGAACTTTAACGACTTTTGAGAAATTACGTATACGCAGTGTTCGCTTTGGAAGCTGTAAATTATGTCCTAATGAAGAACTTATAAAAGTAAGCTGGCGAAGATAAAAGAACAAAAAGATAATGCTAAGGAGGATAGCTAAATATTTTGGATAATTATAATTAAGTTTTCCCCAAGTCATAACCACTATTTAATAGAACTGTGCAAACATAACTGAGCTAAAGATTTTTCCAAGTTTTAATAACCTCTTCTCTACTTACCCACCGACCCATCAAACTGCCCCATTTACATATCAAAGTAAAAGAAAACTTATTAAAATATTATAATAAAAAAGTTCTCAACGACCTGCAGCTGTTGTTGGCAGTAAGAAAAAAGAATCAGGAAAAAGTTAGGTGTCCAAGGGAAGAGGCCAGGAAGGAAGTGGTCACAATTCGTTAATTAATTTCATTAATAGATGACACCAAAATCACTTGGAAGGACAATTTTATGTCCAAATCACTTATACGCCATCCTGCATTCATAAATAATTAATGCAGACATCTCTGGCGGAAAACAAATGAAAATTCTGATGAGAATGGGGCAGGGGACCCAGGATGGATAGCAGTAGGCCCCAGTCCAGCGCCATATTGAGCGCATAAAAGGCTGCTAAACAGGCTCGCTCAGATTACCAGTGGGTTTGTGGATGGGTGGGTTTGGTATGCATAGGGTGCACAAGTGGGTGGATTCTCGACGGGGCTCCGGAAGTGGCTCAAGACATTGGCCCCGGACTGTCCATTGAGATGAGATGGAGGGACAGCAGCGGTTAAAATAATATGCCAACAACCTGAAATGCAATATTACAAAAAGTTGTGTCCTTTTTTTACATATTCTTTAAATTAGAAAAGATTATCTTCTCCAATTATATACACACATTTTTTTAAAGAATTTCTAAAATAAATTAATTTATTTTTAGGTTAAAAAATATATTTTAAGGCGTGACAGCTCATACATAAATAGTAGTATGTATGAGTTTTAATATTCATTCCATATTTTCAACTGTTTAAAATAAATCTGTTCAGTAAGTCGAATTATAAGCAAATGTCGTAGGAACTAAGCGAAAGTGTTTCCCTTTATAAATGCAACGCAGCTATTCCTCTGACCGCAATTGTAGATTAGCTTAGCTTCCAGCCGAGAACTTATCATTATTCATGCTAAAGACTTAACGAGCGCGAGTTTGAGCTGCAGGAAGGGCCGCCGATTGGGATGAGGTGGTGGATTCTGGATTCTGGGCTCCGGGATAATGTGGGCCCGTCTTATCGCAACTATTACCGCAGCGGGAAGTCCCCGCCACCGGTGGGCGTGGCCGGAGTTGGATTTGCGCATTTTCATTACTCTTATCCCCAGAGCTCCGGCATCTCTCGTTCTCGTTGGTGTTATTGTCATTGGCATAATCAAGAGGGATGATGGGTGGTCTTGGGTGGTTTTGGCTGCCTTGGGTGGCTAAAATGGGAGGCCTCCGGGTTAATCTTGAGATTTTCGGTGTTGTCGGTTTTACGAGCCACTTGCCAGCATCGTCTTTGGCCATTACAACAACGACAACGGCAGCAACGACATATTATTATGGCAGCCATTGTTGTAATCCCGCCTCGGTTCGTGTTTCTCGGTTTTCGGAGCTGCCTTCGTCTTTCGGTCTTTCAGGCTTTCGGGCCATTGTCTTAATATTTGCTTAGCAATTCTCATTTCGGCGGCTTTTTTTTATTTCCAACCGCCCGCTGGGTAAATGTCCTTAAAGCAACTCGACTAATAAATTATTTTATGAAAGTGTTAACTTGGCAAATTTCCGTTTCTTTCCTTGCCTTTCCATTATTAACTGGGCCATTTCTATAGGTGCTATATGTGTATGCCATGGGCGAAATCATAAAGTAAACTAATTAGATAGCTTTCGGGAATCTTAAGAAAGCTCAGCACCGTCTTAACTGGGGTACGACAAACAAATTTGTGACTCCAAGGCGGGCTTAATTGGGATTAGGGGAAAGTATAGGCTATACCGGGAAACTCTCCGTCGGAAAAGTTACCTGTTTGACCCCAAGGGGATTACTTCGTGACCGATTGCCTTTCAAAGAACTGTTTATTGTTTGTATCTAATTCCCTCAAAAAATGCTTTGGCGAAATGTTTTGTTATTTCCAAATCAGCCCAAAGTTTAAAATAATATTAATAGTTGAATATATTCAGACTGATGTTGATATATAAAGAACATTTAATTAAGATGCACTACTAAATTTTTTCCTTAGGATTTCTTTAGTTCATATAAAAAACTTTTTAAAACTTTTGATTAGTATACATTACTGATGACTAATAGTTTTTTGTTGAGATATAAAATGTAAATACAGCATTTTGATTCGTTCTACTTTTAAGAACATTTCCAAAGCAACGAAACGTTGAATTTTCTCTGTGTATGCATGCTTAAAGGAGTTCCTAAGCCTCACAAAACTAGGCATTGTTCCCTTTAAAGTTCCTTGAAAAGGGCCCACAACGGAGAACTATGTTTATCTCTTAGCCTGATTGGTTTACAGACTCCACTGGGCCACTTCTGGTTAGGAGCACAACTGGGGAACAGGTTGTCTTGCCAACGCCTGGGGAAAATCTCCATTTCTCGGCTCACTCCAATAAATCGCAGAGCCCAGACTTGACCTTAATAAACATGAATATTAAGCCCGTTCGCCGAGCAAGAGTTAAGCCAGTGCAGAGCAGTAATCAGTTCTGAAAATTGAGGGATGTAGTTACATACAGCTGATAGCTTCAGCAGATCGGGTAAAAAGTGGGGGCGAACCTACATATGTTTTCTAATTAGACCTCCGAAACTGACCAAGCATAGTGCCTAATGCTGGAATTGTGTGCATTGTTTTCCCATTTGGTCAGAATCGAAGGGAAATGGAATCCATTGGGGGTTGGGGGATACCAACTAGTGCGCTCCTTTTTTGCCTTTTTCGACCAGGCCAATACGGCGCAGTTTTCCTCATTGTCTGGGCATTCCAATTCTTTTCGCCATCGATTGGGCTTGGTTTTGGCCCAGCTCTGATTGGTATTCATTGAGATTCCGGCTAAGGGAAATTCCACCCCCTTTGCCAGCCCTTCTGATAATCTACAGGGCGTGGATTATAGAAGTCCTGCAAGTATCGATGCCTCATTTAATTAACGATTGAGGGGAAGACAGGAAGCCCTGCTCGTTAGACGAGCTCATGTTTATGCACGGAGTATGTGCGTTTGTCCTTAACAGGTGCTTACCATGTAATCCTGCGTGATGTATTCCAATTAGATGCGAAGCTCTAGCTCTTCCGAGTTCAAAGCAATTAATTCCATATACTTGAGCAGCCATCAATCTCACTCGCTCTCTCTGACTTTCCATTGCAGAGCAAATTTGGGCCACTGAATTGGACTTTGTTGTGATCAATCGACGCAATTTGATGGCCATGTCGGTGGTGGGGGCCACACCCTTCCCCAGGCACCACCAGAATCAGCAGCAGCACCACCACCAGGAGCACAGTCGTCTCAACCTCACCGCAAACAGTTTGGAACAGGACGAAGAGGACTACTTCAACGATACCATGTTCACGGCCATCCGAGGAGTGCCGGCCGGGGGCAATAACAATTTGTTCGACCTGCGACCCGATAAGGCCAATGGCAGAAAGGCGGCCAAGACGACGGCAACAACGAAGACGAGGTCGAGGACAGCAAGCACTACCACTACCATTTCACAACTGGATGCGGGCAAGGGCCAATACTTTGAAGTGCCCGATTTAATTAATCAAGATATTGACGAAGAGGAGCGTCAGGAACTCGAGGAGGCAATGCGGGGGGAGGATGCCGATGGAGATGGTGATGAGGAGGGAACCGTCATCATGCCGGATTTCGATGAGTTGCCGCCAAGAACCGCAGTTGGCACGACAACCACAGCCTCCTCTGCCGAAGCTGGCAAGTTGAATGTGGAAAATTGGCAAAAGCTGGGAACTCTGGGCAAAGAGACCACAACAAGCAGCTCTAGTACAACACCCTCTACAACCACCACAACCAGGACGACATCAACAACAACACCACAGCTGCCACAACCACTGAGAGTACCAGCAGCACCACCATAAAACCTGTTGATATAATAACAACCAGCAGACACCACATCACCATCATGGAAAACCACGCAACACCACAAACATCACAACAAACAGAAGCAGCAACCCAGACGCCATCACGTGGCCTCCCATGAGCAGGCGATCCTCGAGAGCTTTTCGCCGGAGGAGGAGACCACCACCAGGGATAGCAGTATCCATAGAGTGCGACCCGAGTCCTCCAGAGTGCCCATTCCCTCCACGCCCGTTTCCGCCTCCAATCCAAGATCATTGCCATTAAACCCAAGAACCAGAAGCGAAGGATTTCCAAAAGGGCAGCTGGTGTGGAAATCGAACCGGAATACTTGCTCAACGATGCCAATATAAATTCCAGTGAATTTGTGGCCAAATCCAATGAGGAAGAACCGGAGGAGATGAGGATTTCGAGCTGGAGGATGGTGATTTTCAGTCAGTGCCCGCCTTGACTCCAGCACCTCCAGGTCCCGCAGCCAGTGGTCCAAAAGCTGGGCAGGATTACGTCCGATTGGATGGCTTTGCCGGAATGCTGCAACTCTTCTTCGGCATCGATAAGCCCATCGATGTGGCCATTTTCTCCCAGCCACCCAGTGCCGAGTTTGTGAATCTACTGTGTGCCCTATTGGTCTGGTCAGTTCGCTACCCGGCTGTCTTTTGGAACACCTCCAAGGCTTTTGCCTGTGTCTTCAGCCTCCAGATGGTGTGGCTGCTTGGACATTATCCTGGGATATGTGGGTGTCTCCAATCTGTACAAGCTGCAGATCTACGCCGAGGCCATGCCAGTCCATCAGCCGGGGCTCATCCTGAATGCTGTGGTCACCCTGGCCCTGTACCTTCTGGCCACCGCCTTGGTGGTTGCCTCTTCAATGGTCATGTACTTGTATGGACATGGTCGACTGGCCACTCGGATGAGGGACCGCTCCATTATCACCCTGAAGAGCCACCAGACCTGGATCTACTTCGCCCACTGCGCCTCCTTGTGCTTCGTTTTGGCCCTGGCGGTGGTGAAGGCCCCGCTCCTCAACGATCTCAGTGCCACCTACAAGAACAACCTGCACTGCCCTACCTTCCTGGCGGGTAAGTAAATACCTTTGAGGGGGTGTGTTTAGGTATTTCAAATAAAATAAAAATAAAATCAATATTCAAGAAAAAATCCAAATTTTGATGGACTTATTATAAATAACTAACTTATCCAACTAAGGTCCTAATGTAGACTAGGTACTACATTCCATTTTTGCTTAAAATCCTTACAATCAGGTTATAAGCTTACATATCGAATAGCTAACAAAAATGTTGGGTTCCTTTCTAACTTGATAAAATACTATTAGATAAATAAAATATACCAACTGCAGTTCAGTTTGATCTTAAATAAGATATACAATACTCAGGAAGTATGTGAAAGGCATTCCTCAATACCAATTTAAAGTGATAAATTCAGATGAAGATGTTTGAAAATGCAAATAGTAGAGGGAACGTGATACAAATCCGTGCAGCGCCTAATTCCCCATTTGATTAAGTGTCTTGAATCTGCATAATTGGATGGGTGAGGAGCGCCTTGAACACGGTCTGAGGTATGTTTTGTGGTCTAAGCCAATTAGCGGGCTTGTTTGGACTTTGGATGGGCGATTGGCGGTGCGATTGGTTGAACGTTAATCGCCGGATAGGTAGATAGATATAAAGATAGACAGATAGATGGGTTGAGAACCCGCCGATGAGACAAAGGCGAGGGTATTGAGTGTCACTCGAGGCGAGACAATCGAACTGCAGAGTCGGTCCAATTAAGCTGTCATACGCCTGAGCGTATTACGTTTCCACCTGTGCCATCTCACTATAGAGTGACCTCTGACCTTTTCCCTCTTTTTCCATTTTGCAGCTCTTGTTGGAGTGACGCACCTGCTGCTGTGGATTGTCATCTGGCTGTGCTTGACCATCAAGCGTCGCTGGCACTTTAAGCTGCCGCCATTGGACAGCACTTATGGCGGATTGCTGGGTAAGGCCAGTGCCCAGCCGCTCCTGATGTCCAGCGGTCAAAGGACGGGGAGCAACTCGAGCAGCAGCGGCTGCAACTCCACCAGCACCACGGTGAATGGGGGCGACTCCAAGCCGGACATGATGAGCACGGCCACCAGCACGGAACTGGGCATGGGCATGGGAATGGGAATGGGTGGGGGCATGGGCATGGGCATCAATGGCGGCATGGGCGGAACGGGCATGGGCCTGGCCGCCCAGGAGGACATCTATTGGCCCAAACTGACGCCCAGCTCGCCCAAGCTGAAGGTCACCTTCAACGAAGTTACGAGTACGTCTGATGATGTCCTACTAATTGGTGACCAAGAACAAACTGATGGCAAGCGGTAAAAAATCGTTTTTTAGCTACCAACAACCAAACAAAAAGCATTACGGGTTCGAAGCTCCGTATTTTGTCCGTTTTTCTTAACTCTAACCATAGCAACTAGTTTCATTTAGTTTTCACACACACACATATATATACACTGCACCAAACAAAAAAATTTAATAAAAAAAGAATTCAATCACCCATAAAACTCCACACCCAGCACCAATTTTCAGGAATTCCATGTGATTTTGTGTTTTTCTGTTTACCTAGACTACTGCTTATTAATTCATTTTGTACTTTATCGGTGTGTTTCCTTTGCACGTTCCATTTTGGGAAAGAACGAACCATTATTGAAAACTAATTGCCCAACACTAGTCATTAGTGCAGCGTTTTGCCACACCTAATTTTCCCCACATTTACCAGCACTTCCATCTTCAGTTCCGATTCGTGCGTGCTTCTGACATTCGCCATTTTATATAACCAATTTTGTGTTTTGTGTTTAGTTTAAGCATTTGTTTGTCCACTAAAACGATTGTTCAATTTAAACATAACAAAACGACTTATCCATTTATATATATATCTATATAGAGAGACATGTATGTATAGAGGATGAAGGATAATGATGAGAAACTATTTTGTTCCGCTTGTCGCCTGTTTTTAAAAACGATTCTTTTCACTTTATTTTCCAATTGTTTGATTTACTAGAACTTAATTACTACTAACTCTAGCTAATTGAGTGTGGGCCAATTGAATTTCAATTAACAATTACTACTAAAAACAAAGCGCTCGCAGATTTTGTGTTGTTGTTGATGTCGATGTCGCCGTGTTGTTGTTCTTGTCCTTGGTAATTTGTTTAACTAACCGGAAAACCATTGAACTAACACAGACAATGTTTGAACAATTTCAGGGGGACAGAACGAACTTTAGAAATATTTGAAAATGCTTAAATGGTACAGGTAGATGCCCATTTTGTAAACATAAATGAGAGAAAATTAAATTGTACACCTGCTCTTCGTTTTTAAATTGATTTTATTAAATACTACATCTTTTTCAAACATTTATAAATAATATAATTGTTGAAGTTATTCACTTTGTGTTAATTGTTTAAAAATAGAGGGGCCCGAATACCTCTACGTTTTTTCGATAAAAATATTAATGTAATAATTATACTTAAAAGTCTAAGGCACAAACATTTTATAGATAAAATACATTTATCGAGCTCATTATTTTTTAACAAGGTTAAACTGAGTTCGTTCTGTTTCCTGATTGTCCTGACAGACCTGAAAGCAACCAACACAGGGCGACATTTTAATGTGATGTTATAAACCCACTGACCAGATCCATATCCATATCCCCCTTCAGCCATACGAGCCGTGGAGCCTCGATATGTTTTGCCAGTGCTGCGGGGGAAGCTGACGACGGCGAGTACGCGACACTAAGGGCGGCCACCGCCGGAGCCGTCGTGGGCATCACCATGGGCAGCATGAAGAGGGGCGTCAGCAACACCTCGATGGGGGTCAGCCTGCTCCACCTCTCCGAGTACGATGAACTTCCTCCGCCGCCGCCGCTGGCCAACAACCATCATCATCAGCAGCAGCAGCGGCAGGCCCAGTCCTTTGCCCATGACATCCCCACGACTATGCCAACCTCAGCGGATTGGGTGGCATCAGCGACGACAACATCTCCGAGGAGGGCAAGCTGTTGGCCTGTGTGCGCGACGACAGCATCACCTACGCCTCCACAGGGATCTGGAGCCGCCCCAGCCGTCGGCACAGGCCCAGGCTCCTCCACCCCCTCCGCCGCTGCCCATGAAGGGGGCCCCCGTGCCACAGCCACCAGCGGTACTGCCCCATTCCACCGGCATCTACGGACGGGCCCCTCAAGCCATGCCCGAGATGATGCAGTTGTCGCCTGAGCGCCATCACAATCCGCTTCAGCATTCTCTGCAGCATCCACAGCAGCATCCTCTCCAGCAGAAGCAGCAGCAACAGCCGCCACCACCGCATCCTCTCCAGCAACAGAGCAATCCGCACCAGCATCTAGTCAGCCCCTTGGCTCCGGTCACGGTCGCAGTTCACACCAACGAAGCGCATGTAAGTGGAGGAATGGGTTCTATTTATAAGTAAAGGGTATATCTTGGAGTTAGATGCTCTTGCTCAGTCAAGGGTATTACAAAAAATCTATAAAAGCAAAAATATTAGATTTTTAGATAGTTTTGATTACTTTAAAATATATTTTTGGTTTGCCTTTGGGATTATCATTCATAATTATGTGCCATCTTAAATTAGGAGCTAACATTTTATAGAAAGGCTTATGGCCAATTTCTCAATGTCAGTTAAGTTCTAGTTTTTATTTGTCATAAAAGTTAACATTAAGTTAAATTGTTCTAAAAAACGAATTTTTTTTTCCAATGTTATGTAATTTACTAAACTTTCATTGAGAAAATCATGTAACCCACATGGTGTTGAGAAACTCAATTCTTCCGAAACCACAATTTAACCTTATAACAAAGGCTAACATGACATTGAGATACGCATTGTGTTAAATCTTAGTTCCCCTGACTTCAAGATCAACTATGTGTGTTGATTTCTATAGATGACCTCTTGGATGTTGCACCCAATTCCCAGTCACAATAAAATGAATTCCCAGACTTTTGGGTGCACCCACAGCTAGGGTATTTCCCCTGCAGCATAGGGCGTAGTGCCCAGTGCATGGTGAATAATTTTGTGTTCTTGCTTGTGATTTGCATGTGGAATGGCAGGGGGGGCGATGCGTCGTCATGTAGGGGCGTGTAGCATGTCACGCCCCTGGAGCAGCAGAGGCAGCAGCCGGAGATTTATGTTTGCTGTTATGAGACAGCATAAATCAGTGCCAGGGCCACAGACAGGGCGACATGGATTGGGGGATGGGGGGATCTGGAATGGGGTTTGGTCTGGGGGACACCAGCGACAGAAACCTGTCCGAATTAGTGCTCCAGTTTGATGGATGGGTCGAGGTTTCGAGACAGTCTCCCCGAATTGATTTGGTTTCATTTTCACTTACAGACGGGGCCACGATGAAGCAGAGCCCCTACTGTCACCTCCTAGACTCACTCATATCCCCACTGTTCCTGGACCACTTTCACTTACCCCCTGCTATCTCTGTTTCTGCCCCTTTCCCAGATCGCCTCCAGTTCCACACCCCGCTGTCTGCGCCGCGCCGATTCGGGGGTTCCCAACGAGGCGTTGACGCCCCGAGCGACACCACCTCCACCACCGAGAGTACCAACACCACGTCGCCGCCGGAGCGCGCCCCCTCCGAGTCCTCCAGCGGCGTCCATTCGGGTGAGGAGCGTGAGCTGGAGGTCATCATAAGGCCGCGGGCCAACAGCAAGCCACCGCCACGCCCCCACAGCCGCCCATCCAGGAGGAGCCCTACGGTCGTTGCACCAACATGCGCATGTCCAGCTTAATGCGGATCCCTCGGCCATCTCCTCCTCCTCGCCTCCTCCTCTTCGACGGTGGTCATCAACAGTGCCACGCTGCCGCTGCAGCGTCGGTGCCGGAGCAGAAGTTCGACTATACGGCTCACTGCAGCACGATGCCACTGCCGGTGGGCTGCCACAGCCAGCAGCTCGCCGGGAGCGGTGGTGGCTAGCCTCCACCTCGGCCATGACCAGTTCCATGGGTCCACCATCGCAGGTCTCCAGCTTCATGACGCCCAATAACAACATCAGCAGCAGCAGCAGCATGCACTATGCCAATGCCTCGGTGGCCCTGGGAAATGGCCAACAGACGCCGCACACCACGCTGCCCAATGGAGTGCGCTACTCTAATCCGCACTTCCTGCGCCGGCTGCCGCACGTGACCAAGGCCGCGGAGTCGCCCTACGGACACCTGGGCTACGGGCGGGCACCATGCCTTCGCCAAGCTGCACACGAGACGCATCCCACCATTCCAGAGGATCGCGACTCGGCCAACTACTCGATGGCCTCCGACCAGGATTGCGGTCTATATGTGACGGCCCAGCTGCACTAGGAGGCGAGGGATCCTCTACTATGCTATGAACTTAGAATTGTTGCAAAACGCCTTGCAATCCATGTAAAACCCTTAAAAACGTTATAACCTAAGTTGAATTCTGATTGCTTATGCAGTGGTCATAGCTGCATAGGATTTCCTATCCCGCGGGCCGCCTGTTCTACGGCATTATAGACGAACATATTCAAAGAAATTTTAGGAGACTACATATGTTTAGTGCAATCGGAGCACAGAACCATAGCATTACCATTACTATCCATAAAGCCTAAGTTAGCCTCTCGGTTTTTGTACAGCTCCGACCCCGCAGAGAAGCCATACCAAATCCACTAATCTTCCAAGGATCAGCTGGTACCTAATCAAAATTATCTCCATTTGCTTTGCCTTGACGATGATCCACTCAAGTATGTAGCGCTAACTGCCACCCAGATGACCCACGACAAAAATAAGAAAAATTGAACCTAAAACTATATCTATATCTAAACTACACCTACATCTACGGCTAAATCTAAATCTAAATATATATTTATATTTATACATGCTATGCTCGTATACAATGTGTAAGATAATAAGCTAATCGTGTTTAAGTAATCAATGTAAACTAATGTTTATCATATCATATATGAATGAATATCTATAGCTAAGTGTAAGAGCCCCAAAAATATTAATCTGAAAGGAATAAAATATCATAGCTCGATCATGTGCAAGCACTCAAAGTATTTTCCCCTAAGCAATTTCTCTTATCGAAGCAAAAAAAAAGAAATATGAAATGGACAAAAGGCATACGAATTTAAGCTGCAATTCTATGGTTTTTATTGTAAGGATAAACTGTAAAGTGGTAAATCGTAATTTTATGGCACTAACTAGCCCAAACGTTATGCTTCAGCTAGTCGGCATAGATGATAGACACCCAGCAAGGCTTTGGCATATGTATTTTCTATGGTCTCTCAACGCTTATCGTTTAAGATGAATGTAAAATGTAATGTAACAAAGCGACAATATGAATATTATCTAATGTATGATAAAACGAATACTATCCACGGCCCCATACATATCTCACACGCACAAGACTTTCGACCTTAACCTACTGCACGCTGGAATGTCCTTTCCACCAACACACCCGCTTATAAGATTTCGTTTTTTGTACCCCGCGTAAATGTAGTTAAATGTACTTTTATTTTGAATCGGAACTCGATTTAATCCAACTATAAAGCCAAGAAACTTTGAGGATGGTAGTTCCGATCCATTTTTGTAGAGCATTCAGTTAACCGGTCGTATTTATTTTCGTTATAAAGACTGATTAGTAATAAAATACCTACATTTTGAAATGCACATCCATCAAAGAACTTTAAAAAGTAAAGATCCGAAGTCAGCTTGAGAAATTCATAGCATTGATACGATAGTGGATAGGCCATAAATATAGTTTAGTATGTCGTCATTAACTTGGTTCCTTTGTGAAACGCACTAAACTAAACGAGATATCAACAGTTAAGAAAGAAAACTTTTGTAACATAATTTCAAGTAATTAAAGAATTATTCAAACAAAATATCCAAAAGAAATACTAAGTATGCCCCAAAAGAGAATTACAAATACTTGATTTAAAACCTGGGTCACATTTTTTTGCGCAAGCGGGCAAAATTGTAAATGAACGTAAACCCAGTATCCGATATGGCGCATGCATCCAAAAACATTTATATTTAACAATATAAATCAATGAATGTTTAAATTATTTATATATACAATATACGGATTAAATGGTTTATCAATGGTAAATAAAGAAATACCACCGCTTTATGTAAAACCCCAAAACTCTGCATTTCTTATTAAAAGGGCAACTTTTCTTAATAAAAATAAAACTCAGGGTTATGCTTTATTAGAAAACAATTTTTAATGAATTTTCTTTTGTTTTGTTCTTTAAATGTTGCTTTTCATTAAATTTTCTCTTTAGTTTTTAGTTTTACACAATTCAAGTTTCTGTGTTCATCAATATTAATAATGCTCTTCTCCGCAATTTTTAGTATAATTTTAGTTTTTTGTGTTTTTATTTTGTTTTTACATATTCATTTCACAGTTTATTGTCGTTTCTCGACCTTCGATTGTTGTCGAGATATTAAAATACAATATAAGGTGTTCGGGGCGCCCAGCGAGAGCGCAGACCTTCGCTTTTAATCAATTTAGTTCAACATTTGCAATAAATGATATATCTCGTGTTGTTGATCTTCGTGTGATCGTGTTTTAACGTCGCCTGTCATTCAAATTGAACTTAGTAAATAGCATTTTGTTTCTTGTATTGGTTGCCATTGAAATAACTTGCCATAATATATCATTTGCTTCATTAACATTTTCTATATGTTTTTTGTCTTTGGTGTGACTTAAATGTAACGAATTCTATAGGAATCCTAATAAGAATTTCTGTTATGACTGCACGGTAGAAATGCCCCTTCCAAAGTTGAAATATCTTGGAACTTTTTCAGCAATTTTTCTCAATTTTTGTATGATGCCAATTCTTTTTGGGAAGGGCCTTTTAACGTCGAACTCGCCGAGGTTTTTAGTAATTCTGTTCTTCCTCTTTGCTGGTTTGCTGAGTAATCAAAGCATCTTTGAATGTTTGCCGAAGGAGAGCAGTGGAAACAATATATAGGTAGAGATAGAGAGAGTTTTATCATAGAAAAGTTCGTATGAGGTTCGTGAAGAGCGGAGATTACAAATCTGATTATCTATAATGTATGTATCTGAATGTATGTTCCTTTGACTTATATATCGTATAATTAGTTGCTGGAAACCTCGCTGGTAGTTTTACTTTTCCCAAATATCTGAAGCGCGTTATCCTCCTCATATTTCGAAATTCGAATGCTCGATGCGTGATAATTTTGTGATTATTTTGCAGCAACATTTTGAATGCATTTTCCCTGTGTTCGGCATTTCTTTACGTATCTCTTAGTTGTTTAGTTCTGATATAGGAAGCTGCTGCTTGGATGGATATGCACATGTCAATATATATATTATTTAACTTTACCTCAATCTGTATCTGTATCTGTAGCCGTAACTGCAACTGTGTCTATGTATAGCTGTGTGTATCTGAATGAATGGACGGAAAGGTTCAACTCAATATCCGTAGCCATGAGTGAAAGCAAAAAGAACGAGCACTAAACAACTGGATAGGAACAATAGCTAGGTGTCGTATCATAATCATATGTAGCTATCCCGCCGCCTCTGACCTATGTCCTATGACCTATGTATAAAAGTTAACTGCTCCCATCCATCATCTCTGTCCGCAGGTCAGTGATATGTTTGCTCTCCCCAGGAATGCATTGCAAAATGTTGCCCAAAAGAATGCCAAAAATATCTCAAATTAACATGCAGTAAATTGCAAACTATTTTGGGTTTTCCGTTACACTTTTCCATTGTCCATTTTCCATTTTCCATCTATGCTAATGTACGTGTATCTTTGGCAAGCAGGTAACGATTTTTACAGCTCACACTATTAACTTGAAGGTACTTGATGCGTTTTTTCGAGGCATGTTGCTTGGAACCAAGGCGACAAAAAGGATTCTAAACCGACTCTAAAAGCGCGACAAAGTGAAGCGAGGGGATCTACTGAAAAAAAACAAGAAATCGCGGTATAGTATATTCATATAGAGAGATAGTTTTCCATTTGCTCTAAGTTAAATTATACGATACTGTCTGCCTCAAATAGGTATGTGTGTGTATGTCCTCATCGCCGTCGTCAAAAACTCGTACATTTTGGGGTGGCTGCCGAGTTTTTGACGGGGCGCAGAGCTAACCAATAGCTATAAAGCCTAAACTCGGGGAAGCGGTTGTGGGTAATCGGTAATCGGTATCGGTTAACCGGATGTGGTGTGTTATGTAACGTGTGTGGATCCTATGTACAGCTTAAGTTCAGATTTTGCATTATTAAGTTAAACTTGCTCGTCTCTCTCGCTTGGTAAATATTTTTTTGTTCTTCTTGTTCGATTAATACATATCTCATATCTCCCATTTTAGTTACCTAATCTTAAGCTTTAACTTTATCGGTTTTATCGTAAGTTAGGCTTATTTAAGTGTTAGTGGTTCTTTGCTTGCTTAAACGGTAAAATATATTTATGTATATATCGATTTATATATGTATGTATATATACTTAAATAACTCCCTTCTCTGAAAATCTATAACTCCCTTTACTGATTTAGATTTAGCTATTTATTCAATAAACAATTTATATCCTTCTGCGTCTCTGCTCAGGCTAAGGCTTAGGCATGACTGACACTAGCACTTGAACTTTATCCACCTCCTCCTTGGTTTTCTTTTTTTTTGTATTTTTTTGTTTCGTTTTTCTTTATCAATAATATTTTAAGTAATAATAATCGCAGTAATCGTATTACGAAAATAATAGTGATCTTAGGTGTGTAATAATAAAAATTATTTTAAATATGCATAATTTACAAGTATCCTTTGTCAAATGTTATCCGTTATATAGGTGTATATGTATATATAGACTGCCTTTACAATTATCATTTATCTGTATTCCGTAGTTACGTTTAATCATTTTACTGCTCTGCTTGTGTTCTCTGTTCTCGGTTCGTTTAAATGCAATTGTTTTCATGACTTATAAAAATTAGATATTTCTCTTTGTTTTCTTATATCATTTTCATAATTTGTTTGTTGTGTTCCTCCAAGTCTTCCGTCGTCGTAGTATAGAAAAAACAGATCAGATGTGGACTTAGCTTAGGCCAGCAACCTGCCGAATGAGGATCGGGCGGCCTTATTTCTTGGGATCCGCCGCTGCAGGCTAACCTTTGGTCCTTTGCTATTTGGCTGCCGGGCTGACAGCACGGGCGAATGGTTACTGCAAGGATATGGAGTTTATTAGCATGCTAGTTTAAAAAACTGATTATCTGGTGGGTGGTAGTGTTTGTAAATTCTTTTCGAAACGGGCAAAGTGGGTTAGTAGTCTGGAATTTTAATCTTTTGAGTTGTGTAAAATGGCAAAGTGGCGGAATGTCTGGTTGAATATAGCGCACTAGAGTAAGCCTGAATTTATATCTTAAAATTGTATTTAAATTAAGTGCACTTACTGAATTCAGTTCAGTTTAGAGTTCGCTTGAATTGAATTGTGCTTGGGTGCTTTAAAGTGTTTTCGTTGTTGTAGTGTTGTTTGTTGGTTTGGGTGTCGATAGTGTTGGAAACTGTTATTCGCCCGGCTCCTCCAGAATGACTGATTCGCCGGCCCAAACGATCGGACGACCCTGGTGTGGTTTCAAAGTTGGTTGGTACAGGCACTTGCCATTATTGTTTACAAGGTTTACAAGAGAGCTAGGCCTAGGAAAGTGCTATTTAGTATATGTATGTTTGATAGCTAGCCAGGATTTGCCATTTTGTATTCATGTATTCAGTTGGTGTTGGGGTGTTTTACAAAATCTATGTTATATCAAAATCATTTAGAAGCCTTGTGGATCGTATATAAATTATAATGATTCAAAATGGTAATTGATTAATTATCTACGCATGCACTAGGAAAATGCCAAGCAAAACGGTTTTGTGTGTGATTCGGTTCTATTAAATTTTTGGTTTTTGATTGGGTAGTTGGGGATAGAGAAACATACCTATATGAGTATTATACGAGTCTATGTGAAAACTACGTTGAAGTAACGGTAACTTTAACGGTAACGGTGATTTATGGTGACTTGCGAAAGGTTAGTTTCGTTAAAATTTGGTTTTGCAGTTTGGTTTTTGATTGGTTTGCTTTTGCTTTCGATCAACTTTCAACTTTCCATTCAACGATTCAGTACACAATGCGAATTTTCATTCTACTTTGCCTCATGGGTGTAGGTGTAGGTGTAGTGTGTGAGTTTTTCCGTGAATTGTATAATAAGCGTTTCATTTACAGGAGTGCGTATGTATATATTGCTAACTAAAAACAAATGCTTTGATGTTTACTATATTATCGGTTTAATTTCAAATTGATTTTGCTGGATCTTTAAACTGATCGTTTTAGTTTGGGATTTCTTTTTACAGGATTTTTGCGACTGATTACTCTACAAAGTTGTACAACTTTTGTTCTTGGTAACTTGCTATGAACAAAACGTTGAGCTAAATACTATATAAATATATGTTCTGTGTGTGTAGGTTTATATAAATATATGCAAGTGTTCTTTTGTTTTTATCAAATTTGCGATTTGCGAATCTATTTAGTTTGTTCTTTGTTTTTTTTTTTCTTGTACGACTTGAGTTTGAAAGATTCTGGTTTTAGTTTTAGCCGAGTTTCAGTTTCTTTAAGAGCTAGAGTTTTAGTGAGTCGAGTGAGGCTATGGATGAGCGCCTAGAGCCTAAGCCTATATTAGTGGGACAACTGACCAGGGAGGTGGTGCCAAAGAGTTTGTACCAGCCGATCACGATATTCGACAGATTCAGATCGTCGAGCATTATCTGCGCCACGCCCATAAACACCTTCTTCTCGATGCGTCCATAGTCGCCCCAAACGGTTATCTAGGATTCAAGTACATTGATTAGTTGTATGTGAAATATGTGGAGATATAGGAGACCCACCTGTAGTATACAACCGGTGTAGGACTGCTTGAATACCAGCTGCTGTTGGTACAGTGGATCCAGGGTTCGTCGAGCCGAAGAGGTCTTCATCTTGTCCACACAGCGTTTTCCCGACACCAAGTAAACTTTTACATATGGAGCAGGCAGCATTTTTGATTGGGCTTTTTGCTGAGAGATATAAATTAAAGAAGTGATTAGAGGGTTTTATCAGATACAATCCTGATATCCTGACATACCTGTAAGCCCCTGGCCCGTATGACCTCCACCTCCAGACAGCCTTTTTGATGGCACAGCGATAGCTGGATGTCGCCCAGCGAGGGAGCTCCCAGCACTTGGCGACCCACCAGTTGACCTGGTCCCAAACCGTCCACGAACTCGTTAGGGCTCCATCATTGCGCAACGAGGGGGAGAATCTATATATGTGGGGGGATCAAGGTTCGGGGGTTTTGGACAGGGGGTACATTAAAGAAAGCACTTTAGTACAGGATCGCTTGGATTGCTTTTCTTGTATCATCTCTCATCTAAAGATCTTTTTAAAAATAGGTAACGTAATTTACACAAAGAAAGGATTTGATTTTTGAGAAAGAAAGAACTTTTTATACACAGGGAGTTGTAGAAAGACAGTAAATGTTGTAGTTTCAGTTGGTGGTTGCGAATGCAACTGTTTTGTGGTCTGAAATGGATCAGTGTGGTTGGGTGAGAGGTGGTGGGTGGTGGTACGGTACTGAAGGTGATACTGGTGGTGCGGAGGAGAGAGAGAGACAAGTGGAGTCACAGTTCAATGGTGGCATGCAAGTGTCTTTCGTTTCGCGGATCAAAAGTGCAGAGAAGGTACTATGCTATATACGATCGGAGTCCTAAGTCATCTAGATAAAGAGAGAGCAGGTTCTCTAGAGGGCGATCTTTAGCGATCTACGGCTTTACAAATTTTCTTTTTTATAATATATTTTCTTATTTAGGCTTGTCTTAGTCTAATCCCTTCATTTACACACACATCGAAAGGTGAGGTTATCTTTTTATATACATATATATATATACTATAGATATTTGCTGGAAATCATAGTTAAAATCAAGTAAAAAATCACAATTTATACACATTACATGACAGAAAAATACACAAACAAGTCGAAGAATCAAACGGAACTCAAGGAAGGAAAAGTGGAATACACTTAGAGAAAAAATGTACGCAAATGCAGGCTCGTTTTCAGCGGTTTTTATATTGTTTTACAAGGCGCACGCACACAGACATCGATTAAAGAGAAAGAGAGAAAGTTGCAGGATGAAATAGTTTTTTAAGGGGAAAGTTGGTGATGGGATCGCCACACAGATTACCATATACAAAAGCCAATGGAGATAGTGTTTAAGTTTGAGTCGGACAGTCGGAGAGTGAGAGAATAGAGACAGAGAGTCAGAGATTCAGAGATACAGTGACAGAGAGACAGAGACAGAAGCAGGCAAGACAGAGATCCTTCAGCCGGAAAGGTAGATTACTTGCTAGGGCCAAAAACTGGCCAGGCGGATGCGATCGGGAGACTTACGATGAGCCCTCGGAGCTAGTGATCGAGTGAATGCTGCCGGCACTGTAACGGGTCACCGGAGGCACCGGCGGCACCTCCACCGACCGCTGGATGCTGCCCGCCGAGCCGCGCGACTGCCGCTGGTGGTATGGATGTGGTGGTGGTAGTGTGATATGGTGGTGACCAGCGGAACTGGTCGAGCTGCCTGGTATTGCGAACTGTGCCTGGTATTGCTCTTGTTCTGCCGGAGACAACAATACATATTTATACAGATGTGTGTGTGTGCGCGTATATACAGAGGTTTGGGGGGGTGTGATCTTTAGATGATCCTATCATATACCATATGGGACTATGCCGAGATCCTAGACAAAAACTTATATACATTTCGATATATCTAGAGATCTCTGCATTTTTTTTTTGTTTTTTAACTTTTTATTAATATTCTGTACAACCAAATTTTGGAAATTTTGACCGACGATGAGATTGCAACGCTGGCCTCTGGTTTCTCGACGTTGGGCTCTGGGAAACCGCAAATCTCGAAGAGCGAAACCCAAGTTTTGGGAACCCCAAGGAGCGGGAACAAGACAGAGTAGAGTCGTTAACAGAAATCGAAATACAAACTCAGGGTAAAATCAAGCGAGAACTGAATAACCATAAGAACACAGATCATAGAGAACACATTATATGTATATATATATTTATATATCAGCGAGAAATCATCAAAACTAGTGGCGTAAATGAAAACAATTATTGCGTTATATCACTAGAAAGACTCAACCCGTCTGGTTGTGTATTTTAATTCTAGTATTTTTATATAGTGTTACTTTTGAAGCTTGCTTGTGATATATATATACTGCACTTTTTTCTCCACTACATCGTGTGCAATGCGAATTTTGTTTGCTGTCTAGTTTGGCCAATTTTTCAGATGAGGAGTCTGGTTGTTGTAGTTGTTGATAATGCAGCTATAGTTGTTGCTACTTGTTGTTCTTGTGGTGTGTTGATTGTTGTAGTGGCTGTTGTAGTTGTTGTAGTTGGATGTCTGCTGGCTTTCTGTGACAGAGCTCCCTGTATACATATACTTAGTTATCCGAATCGTAATTGCGCAAAACATAATCGAACTGAAGGAGAATCTTGCGGGAGGCAGATGATAAACATTAGTTCGCTGACGGGCATTCGAAGACCTCAAGACCGATCCCCGGGATCGAAGATAAAGTCGGGATGTGTGTGGATGTGGATAAGATAAACTCCGTGGTGGTGGGGATCTTGGTCTCAATGCTGGTTCACTCTTACCGCTACGAATAAAAAGCCCTAGCTGAAGCCGAATCACAAGCTTTAGCTATGGCGATAACTTATAGATTGAGGCTGCAAGAGATTGGTAGTAGCTTGGTATGTCGAGAGTACGAGAGTGGTAACGAGAGTATATAAGTAGGTAAGTAGGTTGGCTTAACTCAATGCATGCAAATCGAACAGAACGCTAGGAATAAATGTTGTGTGGCTTGGTTATACAAAAGATGGCATTAGCAATCGGTACGGTTTTGGTTTGGTTAGTAATAGTAGTATAGTAAGTATATGCTGCTACGAAAGTAAAATGCAAATGCGGGCGCATCCACACCGACGCACAGTGGGTGCGAAAAGTGTGTGCCGCGTGTCGCACAGTCGAAAGCTTTGCCCAGTGCCATCGCATTTTCCGGGAAAACTGCGGATGGGCAAAGCTTTCGGTGTGCTCCGCTTCGTTTTTAGGGGGCATTGGAATTCCCCCTGTAAGCCTAAAAATACGTATCGACTTTGGATTGTTTGTTGGTTTTTGGTTTGGTTTAGTTGGGTTGTTCTGGTTCTGGTTCTTGATTTTATTTTTCTGGTTTGTTTGCTGCGCCTGCGTTTTAAAGGAGGTCGGAAATAATAAATCAAGTTAACGGGGGGAAAGGCGGGTACGTTTTCAAGTTACAGTTGGTCATGCCTGCGAAAAAGGATATAGAGAGATAGAGCTTTGGCTGAAGCTTTGGCAAAAAGCGCGCGCGAAAAGTCAGAGAGCAGAGTGGATGAAAAGCTAGGGATTGAAGGACCAACATCCTTATGTGCTGAGCGTGGGATTTGTTTTCGGGAGGGGTTTCTGTTACCGATATTGTACTGTTACTTTACTGTTGCTGTTACTGTTGCGTTTCTGGGCCGACTAATGTTTATCATCTCAATCGACAGCCTAACTGGCTTTTAACAGTTTTCATAGATTTTGATTTTTTTTTTCCTCCTCCAAAAGGCAACTCAAAACCAAAAAGAAAGTCACTAAACGATAATCAACCGAAAAAGAACTGATAGCATAGCATAGTAGAGTAGTAGAGTAGTAGTTTTAGAGTAGAGTATAGAGTAGAGTACAGTAGAGAGAGAGAGAAGATAGTTTTGGAATAGAAAGTTGGACTTGTGCGCACCTTTCCCCGCCGGCGCCATCGCCGAAGAACTGCTCGATGGCGTCCGCCTCCGAGGACGAGCCGCGGGACAGGCCGCCCCCGCCGGCGCCGCCTGAGCCACCGGCGCCACTGGCACCACCGGCACCGCCGAGGCTAACGCCCAGTCCGCCACCGCCACCGCTTCGCAGTTCCCGCGTTATATCGCCGGGCAGCACTTCTTCGCTGCGGTGCACCGTAAACGAGTTCTTACCCTTCTTTCCAAAGCCCATACGTCTTTTACGACCTTCGAGTATGGCATTTTACACAGTTTTAGTTTTCTTATTTGTACTATATATATATCGGTTAGTTTGGTTAGCTTGGCTATGGCTTATGGTTATGATAATGGATTGGTTAGTGGTTAGTTTTTCATCAAATGGCAAAGCAAAAATAAGAGACGAAAGATGGTTGCTCCTGCCGGCCTTCAAATTTCCGGACTGAGCCTACGGTGATGCGAATAACTGGTCAACTGAGCAAATGATCAACTGACTGATTGATTGGTTGATTGACTGGCTGACTGAGCAACACAAGGCAACGGAACGAGAACGGTAAACGAGCGCAAACAGAGAACGGAACAAAATCACCCTACCTGTGGCCGAGAGCTGCGAGGTGGAGTTGGACTTCTTGCCCATGCCGCTGCCCCCCTTGGGGGACCGCTCCTGATCGACGCCGCCGCCCTTCTTCCGGTCGTTTCCGGTGTCCGAGAGGCTGCCATCTGTGGGAATGCATTAGATATATTAGAAATGGGATACAAAGTTAGGAATACGAAGTGTTGTCAAAGTTATGTTAATAGGTAGTTGCATTTCTGTTGTATACCCTAAGAACCAAAGAATTATCCATTTATCCTTTGGTATTTCCAATAAATGTTTGTGTTGGGTGTTAAATATCATGTTCAAAAGATAAGATCACACTGTTTTAAAATATAGCAAGAAAATATTTGTAAAGTATTTATCAATTTGGAAAGATAATGTAATATTACAAAAATAAAAGTGTATCCGTACTAAAATCCTGACTCAGGTCTTAACGAAGTGATCTTTTGGTTGGTGTTTTTTATAAACTATAAGGTGGTATCCCATAGTTCTTCGACTACTCACCGACTTTATCTTCGGCACCACCGCCCTCCGCTGACTTGGAGGCGCCAGGATCGTCGGCTCCGTTCTTGTCCTTGTCATACTCGCTGAAATCATCATCCAGCATCGCATCGATTGCATCCCAGTCGATAGCGTCCAGCGGAGCATCCGCGTCCGCATCCGCATCAGCGTTCGTTGTTGTTGTTGTTGTTGCGTTTGGTTCGTTCGTGTTATTCGTTGTTGTTGTTGTTGGATTTGTGGCAGTTGTTGTAGCATTTGTTGTTGTCGCAGTTGTTGTTGTTGTTGCGGTTGTCGTTGTCGCCGCATTCGTTGCATTCGACGATGTTGTGGTTGTTGTTGTTAATGTTGTTGTTGTATTTGTGATAAGATTTGTGCATGTATTTGGTGGTTGTTGTTGTTGTGAGGGTGGTAGTTGTGGTTGTTGTTGTTGTTGTGTGGGGTCAAAAGTCAGGTTGTTGGCGTCATTGTTGGTGTTTGTGTTTTGTTGTTGTTGTGGTGTTGATGATGGGGCACGTTTAATATTGTTGTTGATATTGTTGGGTGATCCATGAAGTTGTTGTTGTAGTAGTTGTTGTTGTTGTGGTGGTGGTTGGGGATTTGCAAAAGAGGAAGAAGAAGCATTATTAGCATTAGTACCACCGACGACAAGATGCCCAGCAGCGGCAGCAGATGTTGCACCACCGCTCCCACTACTAGATTTCGTCAGCTGCTCCGATGCCATCATCGATCCGCTAATGGCGGTGGTGCCTTCTTTCCCTTTTTGCCTAACTGATTGTTGTTGTTGTTGTTGAAGTTGTTGTTGAGATTGTTGATTGTGACTTTGGCTAACACTAACACTACTCGCTTGGCTATTGTGGTGGTTGGTGGTGTGGTGGTTGCTATTGTGTGTACTGGTACCGGTAGTGTTGTGTGCACCACCGCTGCCCATTCCGTTGCCCTGTTCCATTCCCATTTCCGAACCCGGCTCCATTGGTGAAAAGTTGTGGGCATTCTGCGCACTTGGTGGATGCGGCAGATTCCTTCGGCGCTTGAGGTAAGGAGCCGCCGGTCCATACAATTTCTGCTGGCTGGTTCGCTGCAGATCCAGCGACATGTGATGCCTGGCATCCGCCAATCCCCGCTGGCGGTGCGCCCCTCGAAACAGGGATGGAGCCACGCCCCGCCGCGTCCAGCCCACATCCGAGTCATAGGTAATGGTCACTATCTTGTCATCCGTGACCAGGAAATGCGAGTGACTCAACGGATTGTTGGCATCCACATTGGCCCCCATGTACGACTGCCGGATATTGGTCTCCGAACCATAGCGACGCGACATGGCCGCCGTGGTTGGTGAGTGGTTGGCATAGGGATTGGGATGCGGATAGGGATAGTCTGCGGACGAGGGCATCACCTCGTCTTCGTAGCGAATGCGTCGGCGACCCCAGCTCTTCGTGTGCAGATCATCGTAGTCCAGCGACCTCGACTGACCCTCGTGAAAGAGTCGTCTGCGCTCCAGCTTCGGTTTCTTCAGGATTGAAGTGGGTTGCGCCTTGGCCTCCGAAATGGGTACGGCGGCCACCAGGGCGTCTTCGCTTAGCTGTCGTGATAGTCTAAGCACCGATTGAGTGGGCGGTGGTGCAGGCGTGGCCATTTGACCCCTGGCCCGACGATGGGCATTTGGGGTTGGGGTGTGCACATGGTAGGTGGGCACCACGCCCAGATTCATTTGCGGTCCCGTCATCCCGCCCAAAAAGTGCTGATCCACACACTCGCCGCACATCGCCGGATCCGCGGAGGGTGGCTCACCCATGGGATAGCCCATGGGCTGGTGCTGCGGATGCGGATGGGCATCCGCCAGACAGCAGGGATCCTGGCAAGCGCCAATCGCCAAACCGGCGGTGGTCAAGTGCAAAGTGTGGTGCGTAGAGAGCACCACCGGCTGACTTCCATTCTGGCAGTGGCTGCAGCTCTTGTCCTGGTGATCTCGCACATAGCCCACCAGCGAACTGGGCGTCGTGGAGGCGTGGTCGTGGGCATGGGCGTGGCCATGGAGGCCCGAGGGCGAGGAGCTGCGGAAGAGATTCGTGATGGGCGTGGTAATGCGCTTGAATTGTTCAAAGCTCGGCAGCAGCGGCAGCGGATAGGCAGCGGCGGTAGCGGCTTGTACGTTCGGTTTCTGTCCGTTGGACCGTCGTGGTGGATAGATGTCGATGTCGATGTCGAATGGCAAATGGGGCGATGGCGAGTAGAAGGCGGAATGGAGTGGATGCAGATGCGCATGGGGATCGAGTGGATCGAGTGGCTCCATCATCTCCTCGGCCATGGTGCCGGGCTCCACGAAGAACTGCTCCACCAGCTGGCCACTGTTGGCATCGGTCACTAGAACCTGATGTGGTGCCAGTGATGGTGGTGCTAGTGGCATTCCTAGCCCGGCGGAAATGGGCGGTGAGTCGGCCGCCGCCAGAGCAGCCAGCTGCTGCAGTTGCTCCAGCTGCTCCAGCAACACCAATTGCTGGGCACCGCCCACCGGCAGATAGTCACAGTCATCCACCTCGATGGTGTTGGCCCTTCCAGGCTCCGAGTGGTGCAGCCGGAGTCCAGTGATGGGTTCGCCTCCTGATCCGCTGAGGAAACTGTTGCGGACGCCAAAGAGGTTGCGCCAGTTGCGCGGGAAGCTAACGGTTATTGCGGGCAACGGTAACGGGTGGTATCGGGTGGTAACGGTTGGCAGCGGTGGTGGGTTTTGTGGTGAAAACATTTTGGTTACAGGGCATGCAAAGTGTGGGGAAGAATCGAATATGTTTTTTTTTTAAACCCATCGAATACCATTTCCAATGAGCGTGATTTTTTCAAAAAGACAGCGCTCGTCGTGTGTGGTGAGTTTCGAGTGTGTGGTGGATTGGAACAATTAACAAGGCACATTCGAGGGGAAGAAAACGAACAACGTCCGAGGTCAGCGTTTGGTTCGAGGTGAGTAGTGGTGTGTGGTATCGTTTTTCGTGGTGAGTTGTGGTGGTTGTTGTTGAGTTTCGTGGTGAGTGGTGAGTGGTTGGCGTGTAAGCGTGTGGTGAGCACAGCACGCGAGAGAAGCATTGAAACACAAACACAAAGAGAGTACGCGCGACGAGAGCGGCGTTGTTGATTGTTGTTGAGATTTATCATAGAGATTTGATTTTTATTTTGAGCGGTTTGGTTTTGTCGGTTGGTTTGGCAAACGCAAAAAGTAAATGCAGAAAAGAAACTTTATGTTTTCGCTATCGTTTTTCGTTGGTTTCAGTGTGCGTTTCAAGTTGGTGTTGGTGTATCTGTGTGAGCGAGATACTGTGTGTGTGTGTGTCAAAGAGAAAGTTGGGCGGTAAGCGCGCCGATTCCGAGTCTAATTTGGAGCCTAATTCAGGGAAATTTTGGATTTTGCTTGCAGCTACTACTCAGAAAGTAAATGTGTAGGTAGACCAATTGGCGTGTGGCCCAGAGCGGATTTTCAGCATAATTTTGGCAGCGTAGCTTTGCTTATTTGGCTATAAAGTAATGGCTAATGGCTTGGGCCTTCGACTGGCACTCCTTCCTCCTCCTTCATCCTCTCCTCAGCCCGCCGGCCACTTACCTGAGTCCGCGCGAGGTGCGCGGTCGCTCCGACTGCGTGGAGAAGGCGCTGGAGGTCACGCTGACCACCGACTCCATGTCCGAGTCGCCGAACTCGCCCATGAAGTCCTTGTCCGGCGACAGCGAGTGTCGCGGTCGCATCCGGGCGTCCATCGAGTGCAGGTCGCTGTCCGACAGTCCCGTGTAGTGCCGCTCCCAGCCGCCCATCCCGGTGCTGCGGTAGGTGGCCTGGTGGTGCGGCTGCCGTGTGCGGTGCCGTCCAAAGCGACCACCGGAGGCCAACCGCTCGTCGAAGTCCTGCCCTAGGCGGTCCCGCAGCATGGCACTGCGAGAGGTCTGCGGCACCTGTGGCAGAAAAATCTTGATTAGGAATCTGCAGATTTCCTTAACTAATTCATATTTCAAAGTCTAAAATACGGAATACTCCACAGGATTAACACTTTTAATGAACTGCAGTTATATAAAGCAATAATATAAAAACCGCGAATTTTTCAGGAACAGGTGGCTAACGTTATAAACACATCGCAGCTTCATAACATACATGTATTTCGGTGTACCCTTACAGGAGCTAATATAACCCTAATTACATATTTTCTCTCTTGGTCTTAGATCACTCCGTAATGGTTACCTGTGGCAGTTGCCTCTTCTTGGGGGATCCCGTGGGCGTGGCTGTGGCCGATCGCGACTGGAATCGCTGCTGCTGCGAGGCAGCCGCCGCCGCTGAGGACGCACCACCCGGTCCCTGGTAGACCGATGGGGCGTTGGGCGAGCCGTGAACTGGAAGCACTGGATAGTCTATGTAGCGGTCGTCGGGTGGCGAGAGGGATCCCCTTCGGGGACTGGTGCTCCGATAGCCGTAGGCGGATCCGCCGGAGGGCACTCCGCCCACACCGCCTCCTACTCCGCTGCTGTGGTAACCGTCGCTGGGTGCCGCCGAGTGGCTCCGCTGGCTGAGGCTCATGCCACCGGGACCGATGGATGAGCCGATACCATTACCACCTCCGCGACGATAGTAGCCGGTGGCAGAGGCCTGCAGGTGGTGCACAGCAAGTGGTGGTTGCATGGAAAGTAGAGTGTGGTTTAGTGGTGCACCCTTTGGACACGAAGCTCCATGATCCCCACAGGGATGCTGACAAACATTCGGATCAGAGCTTATAAGCTAGATATGTGAGTGATTCTGGGTGGATCTGAGTGGTTCTGAGTGCTTGGTCTTTTGTGTCTGGGAGTGTTTCGTGTCTTTGGTTAACTGTTACTGCAACTTCTACTGGAACATTAATACAGGTAAGTTCATATATGGTTAAACGTAGGTACTGAGTTAAGAGTTAATAGTTAAGAGAGCAATAGATAGAGAGCCATTCAAATTGAATAAGAATACACTTTCGAAACGAAATCAATCAAAATACATTTAGAGCCGCACGCGACTTGTTAGATTATTAGTGGGTTAATCGGTTAGTTGGGTTAAGTAAAAGATTAGCATAAACTCTGAAGTGAAAGTGCAGTAAGTTGGCAGTGGTTGTTTGGTCTAACTAAACTAGCTATACTTGTGGGTTTGAGGATGGTCAAGATATGTTTTGGACTGATTATCGGGTGAGTCAGTGAAGTGACCCTAGAGTTCTATAAGCTCTATAAGAAAGAGTATCTTAGAAGATGAATTTTTTGGAAGTTATCTCTTATGGGGGAAAACTAACGAAAGGTATAGATCGTACTTAAAGATAAACCTCTCTTAACTGCGGATGTTTCTACCCCCAAGATTTTAAAATCTATAATTCTGAAGTGTTTTCGTTGTCTGTTCTGTTCTGTTTGTTTGCCTTTTTTTTGGCCATTTTTTTTAGGTGGTTCGTTAATTTAGCTTGGGTGCAAACCTGATTGTGGTAACTTTGTCCAATGCCAGATACAGTGCGGTAGTCGCGGGCCACCATCCCGGCCACCCGTTTGCGGCCCTGGGGCGACATGTCTCGTCGGGACCGACGCTCGTTTAGATCGAGCTGGATTCGGAGTGGATCGGGACGAAAGGGTTTCCAACAGGGTGGTGGGGAGTGGTTGGTTTTGGGTTGGATTTCAGTGAGGGGTTAGAATCGAGAGAAAAAGAAGGAGTAGACAATAGAGAAATTTACATATGATCAAAATGAATGGAGAGAGTCTGGAGCACAGTGTGATGCGGTTTAAATGTGTGGAATATTAAATATTGGCCTCTTACATTGTGTTTGTGTGGGAGTGTCTCTGGGTTTTATTTTTTGGGGGTGTCTCTTTTGGGGGTCTGTGTTCGATTAACTCAACGCACATCTATTATACGCAACGCTACACACTTAAAGCTACAAGGTGAAGAAGCCACAAGGAAAGCAGGACGGGCAATTCGCAGGTGCTAAGTGATGGATAGATGGGCAAAAGCGGTTCTCTACAACGGCATGCAAAGCGGTTTTCAAGTTTTCAAGTATTCGAGTGCTCTTCAATGGCTGTTCGATCGTGGATCTTATGACAGAGAGAGATAGTTTGTTGGGAGACAGTATGTGTTCTCAAGTTTAGGTTTACACGGATTCTTAACTTATAACATTCGGCTTATGAGACTTAGACTAGATTTATTTCCATCTTAAATGCAATAGTTATCGTTAGTTAGCTGAAAAGACGCGACCAAGTCGGGCTTGGTTTTGGGCTTAAGATTTTTAGTACAGAGAGAGTTAGTAGAACGACAGTTTAGACTTCGAAGAGATAGAGGCAGTAGTTCGAGAGATAGAGAGAGAGAAAAATTTAACACACGCACAACCAAACAACGACACCAATTAGTTGAATAAAAGTTTCAAACGAACTCAAAACATCATGATAACGAAAATACTTTGTACAATTGCTGGGGGGTGTCATGTCTTGTATCTTGGCCAAAAACATGAACAGTCGGCATGAGTCCGATTCTGTCCCTGACCATGAACCAGTTGGAATATGTGTGCTTTGGTATAGGGGTTCTTGTATAGTGTTCTTGTGTGCTGTGGCATGCGAACTGAGAGCTGAGAACTGATAACTGACAGGAACAGGAACTGGAACCGCAATGGAGTCCTCTCTCATAGAGCACATGGTATGGTTATTCGTTATTCTTTTTGTTTGCGATTGCTGTGCTGATGCTGATGATGGGCAACTCGTTGGGTTGCTGATGGTGATGCTTATGCTGATGCTGCTCATGGCATGTGATATGTGAGTTACAGTTAGAAAAAAAACACACACACATTGAGAGAGAGAGAAAGATAGTAAACTATAGGAACCCAAGTAAGCACACTATGCAAAGCACCAACGAATGTATACTCTTGCTTTTATAAAGACTGGTTTACTAAGACTTTGAAGATCTAGTCATTTTCTGATAGTTTTTTAATTTTGATAACAATTAAGTTCATAATAATATTAAAGGAATAACCAAAGGATACTTAATCAACTACTAATATAATCCTTACATGGAATTTAAGGGGTCTAATCGTAGTATTATTGGAAACATAATTTTTCTGGATCCATATCTAGGTATAATATAGATTCCTTATATTATTCAACTTCATATAGTACCTATCATAACTATTTCCTAAGCAAGAGTATACAGACAGTGTAGTTTTTTATTTTCGCATCAAATGTGGGCATGTGTGTGTGAGTGAGAGTGGGTGGCTCAGTGGGCGGAAATGCTCGCTTGTATGTATGTATCTGTGTGGGGGTCTGAGTGCCACTGGAAGTGGCAAGCTGCGATTGAAGTCTAATGTATGCGCGTGTGAGTGTCTCTGGTGTCCTCACTCTTGTTGCTGTCAGTTGTTTTGGCTTCGGATGTGAAATCCCTCCCATTTTCTCCGTGTGTACTATATACATATGTATGTACGAAATAATAAATTCAATTTCGGTTTTGTGATTGGTTGGTTCAGTGTAATGTGGCTCTGATGTTGTAGCTCAGGCTGTTGTTGATGTTGTTGTTGTTAAAGTTGTTATAGTTGTTAGAGTTGGTTTTTGATTGAAGTTGTTGGTGGTGACTGTTACCTCTAGCAGGGGCGGCGGGCTCGCAGAGCTGCCCATCGACGAGATGCTGGCCCCCGGAGTCATTCCATCGATGTCGCAGTCAGACGTGGTGTCCGAGTCGCTCAGACGCGACATGGTGCTTGGCGGTGATAAATGATCTGTCGGTGTCAGTATCAGGCCGTCCACATCGCTGCCCTCGTCACGTAACTGTTTTCGTTGTTGGTTGTTATATGGTTGTTGTATGATTGTTGTATGGTTGTTGCATGGTTGTTGTTTGGTTGTTGTTTGGTTGTTGTCATAAATTTAGCGTCGCAATTTTGTATGGTTATTGGTGTTGGTAATGGTGGATGGTGTTTTTTTTTTGGGTGGTGATGTATTGGCGGGTGCAGGACAAAAAACCAACGAAAAAAATAAACAGATTATGACAATGCTGGAGTTAATAATTTTGTTTTCAAACCGGGCAGCTGCTGCGGGGGTGGAGGGTGGGTAAAGGACATTACCAGGTCTGTTTTGGCCTTCACTTTCACTAAGTTGCTTTTAATATTTAATATTTAAAATTTCTGAAAGTGAAAACCAAAACAGCCTAAACATCGAGCTTTACAAAACCAATAAAAGAAAACATAATTAAACGATAACATTTTCCATTCTTCTCTTAGCCAGTTTTGTGTTAAGTTTTTCACTCGCCAAAACTTCGTTCGCGGGTCTGAAACTCTGAACTCTGTGTGTTTCCATCGTTTTCAAGTGTTTACCAACACCTATTTAACAACCAGGAAACGGAAACGAACGAACGCAAAATGGTAACCAAATGAACGAACTTAAAGAGCCACGGCCCACACATACGAGATAGGAGGTGTCCTGGTGGGGCTGCAGCTGATACCACTCGGCCTCGTCGTCCAGGATGTGGTGCGCCAGATCGATGACCACCTCGCCGATGAAGTCGTTGGCCCCATACCGCACATAGTCCCACAGCGTCACCTTTGGAGATGGACCAGATGAATGCATTCGGCAGATGGAAAGGTATTGATGTGAGCAAACCCACCTCGAGCAGTCGGCCATTGAGGTCACAGCGTCTCAGACCGGAGTAGACAAAGGTCTGGCCCCATCGGGGTTCGCAGGTGGTGCCCACCGTCTTGGTTCGCCGCTTGGATTTGTGGCTTCGATCGGGCAGAAGGAACACCTGTAAAAATTAAAGTTAATATTAAATAAAAAATTGATAAAAATCAAAAGTGAATCACAAATGAATTAGTCCTCTTCGGAAATATTTTTATAGCCTAATAAATCAAAACACCCTACATTTTTGGAATTTTAACCTACTGCATTTATTGGAAAAATCATCTGAATATAATCCAGGTATTAAATTGCCTCAAATGTGATTTTAAGTTATATTTCCTAAAAACTAAAGTGTTTTCCAAGCTTATTTTATCTTTTAAGATTATTAAAATAATTTTAAAAACGTATTTATTTAAGAAACATTTTTTATGACTCCTTTGATGTTTTTAAATCGATATAAATACCATATTTTATAGTATAGTTTTTATGTTATGGTTATAAAAATGTTCAGTTCCTACTGGTTTACTTACTTTAGCATAGGGATTTCGGCCCGCTCCGCTCTGGCGCAGGGAGAGACCGGTGGCGCAGACCAGGGTCACGATCAGCTGCAGGGTGTTCTGGTCGTAGCCGAGCTTCAGCTGCAGCCGCCCCTCGATGGGGATGTGCTGTGTGGTGGTGCCGGAGCCGCTGCCCATGCCGATGCCACCGCCCACCCCGTGGCCTTGCAGGTGGGCGGCGGGCGGACCCTGGTGCGGATGCTGATGCGGATGCGGATGCTGGTGCGGGTGGTAGTGGTGCGGGTGGTGATGGTGGCCCGCCGTCGTTGTGCCGTGCAGGCCGCCAGGGGCGGAACCGGAAGCGGACGCGTGGGTGGGGCCGTGGGCGGAGGCGGGGGCGTGGACGCTGCTGGTGCTGCTGCCGCTGCCACTCCCGCTGCTGCTGTGGCTGTGGGTACTGTGGCTTGGTCCCAGGCGCTGCGTCTGCCCGACGCCGCCACGTTGCCGGAGTCCAGATCCAGATCCTGAGCCGGAACCCGATCCTGCTACCGAACCCGGTCCGGAAACACTCGTGTGGATGTCCGGCGAACCGGGCGAGGTGATCAGCACACTGGGCTTGTCCCGATGGATTTCAATGGCCTCGACGGCGGGAGCTGTGTGGGGATTTAGAATAGAGTTAGGATCGTAGGGCTTAAGATATATTCAAATTAGAGTTGTGGGTAAGTCGTGTTTCTTGTGGTACTGTTAGTGATTCGGTTATTATCTTGTAGTTTCTTTAATGGATGATATAATGGTACCCACTTGAAAGTAATATTTATAGAACTGATATTTTCTTTGCAGAAGAATGATTGATCTGTATATGTACCTACTTTAATAGATCTCTTAGCATATCTACTTCAAACCATATCTGAAAAATAACCCACAATTGGGAATTCCCAATGTTTATCGTATTGAATTATTATATGAACAAGTTTTTAAATATTTCTGCTTCTTTTATCTACAAAATGTAATTAGTTATGCTGTTAACTATTAAAAGTGATAGGTTTTTATAAAGAAACTGTTTCTATAAAATGATTTTAATGGGTTAATGTGGCAATTTGTTATTAGAAAATGGGATGTAGCCCAAGAAACTTCCTGCAAATAGGATACCCCAATTCAGTCACGCTCTCTCACAGACACACAACCCCTCTTTGGTGACCATATCTACATATATGGCATGGTGTGGTTTGGTATAGTACCTTTGCGCTGGAGATATCGTCCGCCGCTGCTGACCACCGCACTGCCGGCCATGCTGCTGGCCAGCCCGCTGTGCGGGAAGTTGGCCGAGGAGCGCCGGGCGGGCACACTGCTGTGCCCGGATCCGCCGGAGGCTCCGCTGATCGGACTGACGTTGGTGCTGCTCCCGCCACTGCCGCCGCCACCGCCGCTGCCGATCGCCCGGCTCACGATCAGTTCCACCTGGGCGTCCAGGCGACTCTCGTCGATGATGTCGTACACCTCGTCGGCACTTTTGTTGTGCAGCCCGCGGCCATTCCACTCGAGGATCTCGTCGCCTGGTCGATGGATGATCGTTGGATGGATGTGGGTTCGGATTGGATGTTTGATCACAGATAGATAGAAGAGATAGAGAGAAAAGTCAGAGAATGAGATGGCCGGATGGATGGGGGATGCACTTTACCTGGTCGAATCCTTCCCTCGAGATCGGCCACCGATCCGCGCTTCACCTTCTCCACAATGGCCCCGCATGGGCCTCCGACTCCCGATCCTCCCGTTCCCGTTCCCGTTAACAGGGGCTGACCGCCGTTGACCTTTAAGCCTAATATATCCTCCCCATCATAGTATTTACGCAATATCATGTGCCCGATCAGGCGAGTATTGTCCGCGGATGTTTGCCAATTCACCGGGTTCTATTTGCAGCGATCGATTTGCGATTGTGGGTGTGGGATGGTAATTGGTTTGGTGATGGTATTATATTTTTTTGGTGGGGTTTGTTTTTTTTGTTGGTGGTTGTACAGATTACAGTTCGGATTGCAGATGATCGTGCATAGATTTTTTTGGTTGTTGGATGTGGTTTCGGTGGGGAGCCATCGTATGCGAGAAGTAGAATTGTTTTTGGTTAGCTTGTTTTTTGCACCGCCCACAGGCCTTAGACATAGAACTTAAACCCTAGGTTAAACTTACAATTAGAGTTGGTAAACGATAAAAACATATTTATAACAGTAGAAAGTAACGGTTTGTACACTTTTTCACATTCAAGTTGGTTTTGTTTTTGTTTCTTACAGGCTAGAAACGTGTTCTACTCAATCACGGATAGTTGGCATAGCGCATAGATATAGATACATAGTTGGTTTTCATTTGGTATTCCTACTTGTTTTGAGAACACACACGTTTCAAGAGTTCCCTCAAGACGAGGTACGGGTTAGTTAAATTTCGAAAGTGGACTAACGACATTTAGAGGTCATGCAGGTCGTGCTAATGGGGGTATTTGTTTTGGGTGTATCTGCATGCAAGCACAACACTTAGAGGGTTCGGAAAATTGTATTATATGGACATGCAAGATTATTATACTTTGTGGGGGAGTTCGAATATCTCTGGGGTTTTCTTTTCTTTTCAGTGAGTTTGTATGCTGAAATTGTCAAGATGTTTTGTCATAATAGCTGAAAGTTAGTTGCGAGCTGGGAGTGATAACCAAAAACGATATCATAGCTTGATAATGGTCTGGGCTTTATGGTTGCTTTTTGGACATGACAAGAACAACAAACAGAGAAAGTTGGTGGGGTTATCTTTTCTTCGGGATTTCCATCGGGTTTTCCTTCACACAGACAAACGGAAAGTGGGTTTTCAGACGGGGGTGGGGTTAGAAAGAGACAAAGAGGAGGACTCTACACAGACACAATGCATTCTTGCCCATCTGGATTTCGATCTCATCCTTTTCCCGCAGCCATGTGTTCGTGTGTACCTTGGGCCCATCTCCTCGATTCGAGTCCTCGCTGCTGGTGAAGGTGCTGCTTGTATCGATGCCCGAATCCTTGGTGGCCGAGTCCTGGCTGCCCTGCCTCTCGGCCTCCCAGCGCGACCAATCGCCTCCAACCGGAACTCCCATTCCGCCTGCCTCCAGGCTCTTGCCACTGCTCAGTATGGTGGCCGCACCCACATCCACGGCCGTGGAGGGCAGGATTCCTGTGACCGGTGGCAGTGAGGCAGTGGCTGCCAGTATGGAGGCCTCCTCGTCATGGGCATCGAAGCGCACCGTCTTCTTTATTCTGCGCTCGGTGAAGCGCCGCGAATCCTGGGCCGCCGATGAGGAGGAACTCGTGGCCGGCTCATCCCAGTAGGCTGCCTCTGTGGAGCTGACGGAGCTGCTTCCACCGCCGCCCCTCGTGGCGCCCAGCAGGCCACTACGCTGGCCACCTCGTGCTCCGGCCTCCGCCGCTGCCATGGATACTCCTGATCCCGATACCGATACCGATCCCGTTCCCAATCCCCGATCGTAGCCCGGACCAATCACAATCTGCGGCTGCTTCGACTGGGGATAGTAGCTGCTGCTAGTGGTGCTGCTGCTGCTGCTGCCACCGCCGCCGGCGGCTGCCAAGGGCGGGGCACGTCGGTAGGCGCCAGCAGCACCACCACCGGCTCCAACAGCTCCACCCGCTCCTCCTGCTGATCCGCTAGAGAAATGCCGCTCGTGGTTGCTGCGGTTCAGCGAGTTACGCTGCTGGACGTCCAATCGAGCGGTACGCGTCAGGGGATACTGCTCCAAACGCTCGCGGTGCTGCAGCTGCAGCTCGTAGCGATCCCGCTGATCGGCGGAGGCGTACAGCCGCTGGCGAAAGTCAGCACCACCGAGGGCACCACCAGCACCACCGCCGCCGGCGCTGAGCAGATCCCGCTCGTTGAGGCTGCGCTGCTGGCGCCACGGATCCAAAGAGGTGCGCACCTGGAGGCGCCCGCCTGTAGGGGTGGTAGATGTTGATTGGGTGTGGCTATAAACGCTACTACGTGGGTTTGCTCTGGGGGATTTCTTTTTTGGGTGGTTAAGGGGTTTCTTGGGTTCTTCGGGGGTTTCAGGGTTTCGGTTTTGGGGGGACTGCGCCGCTTGCCTGCCATAGTTTGTTGTCCTTTTCAAATGTTTCAACAAATGCACACAATCATAAATGGTAATCGATCGGTTGAGAAAGCAAAAGTTCAAAGCAAACAAATACGTATGATATAAGACTTAGTTTTGGGACTCTCATCCAGCCCAGTGAGTTGGAGTTCTTGTGGCAAATGGGGTAACGCCTTTGTTTTTCGAAAATTTCATTAAAGATTCAGTATATGTTGAGTTATAATTCTGGTACGGTTTCTAGTAGTTCATAAATTAATGATACTAAGGTCACAACTAGGTTTAATGTGCTTTCTATGACCTAAAGATAACCGATGGCTAAAAAAAATTATTCAAATTTCTTTAATAATTTTAAGGGAATAGTAATTTGTGATACAATTTTCTTAAAGCTAAGTGCAGACAAAAATTTTTCATTTTATATAGGACCTAGTGTCAGAATCAACCAAAATTTAAATAAATTCAAAAATTTTAAAATCCATTGACTTGAATATCTTTTCAATCAAATAATATATATAAAATGTTCGAAAAATCGGCGACAGTGCCTTAGTTTTGACCAGAACTGCATGAGTAAGCTAAATATGGGTTGTACGAGTATCATAAGTAGACCTACGACTAGAGCTACGAGTGCCCGCGACTGCTGGGACTAAAAAAAGTGCCAGGACCGGGAGAATATATGATTCAGGGGTTATGTGCCCGGTTTTCAGGGGTTCGGAGAGGTACGAGGCATTGAAATACTTATCTGTTGTGGCTAAAAGTTGCAAGAGCATTAAGTTACAAGCTAAGATTTCGGGGTAATCGGAGGTATAATATGGGTGGCCCTCGCGGACAGTGTAAACTGACTGTTCTGGTGTGTTTGTGTGTTGGGCAGTGTAGATTCTGGTTGAAGTAAGGAGGAAACGGGAAACAGCGTTACGATATCCATGCAAATTATTCACCAAGATTTCTTGTTTTGTCAAAATTCCTTTTTTGTTTTAGGTCACATTTACAGGTAGGGTTAAAAACGTAGAAGATACATAAAAGAGGCAGAAAGTAACGAATACAAAAGGATACGAAGTGTTCGAAAATCTCGTCAAGTAACGATAACACGTGTGTTCACAGCCATAAAGAGAAAGTGTGATTGAGTGTGTGGAGAGAGGTGTGGTCTTAGGAAATCAAGTGATGATCGAGAGAGAGTAGAATTCGAAGCAAAAGAAATGCGGATTGAAAAACGCTTGATTGCATCACCACCAGCTTAATATGGCTATTATCAAAAAATTCTAGGTAGGAGAAAGTGGAGGAGAGTGTGGGAGAAAATGTGAGTGAGGGGGACGATAGTGCTCGAACAAAGGAAACGAAGTTAACAACTAAGAAAATCGCACATTCCTTGCTTTCGCTTGTGACGTGTGTGTGGGGGGAAAACTCATAAGAAAACATAACATCGAAGAGACACACACATTCAAATTAATTCGCATTAAATGCCTTTGGGCCTGGATTTAATTCTTTTCGCTTACATTTGCATGAATCTGTAGATCGCCGGGCGAGAGTACGGTTTGGACACCTTGAACGCCGCCAAAATTACCTGCTATTCGATGTTTATTTTTGGTTTTTCATTATAGATTATTCATTGGGTGTTTTTTTGGTTTTTTGGGTATTTTTTATAATGGTTTATTGTGGCGGGCAAGTTGGTTGGAGTTTCATTTTCAGGGTAGACCAGAGAGAGAGAAAGAGTGGAGAAAAATATATGAAAACAATATTTTAAAGGTGAGTTCGAGTGGTAAATGTGAGTTAGCCTAGGGCTTAACTAGCTTACTAACCTAGCTTAGGGGTAAACTAAATAGGATTGTATCTGAGTATCTGAGGGATTTCAGCAAGGGGAATAATTTCAACTAAACATTAATGCTATTCTTATTATAGGTACATATATTACTTATAGTTTTGAGTGCTCATAAGCAGACTAAAAGCTTTCCAACTTTCATTACTGATACATTTGCACTCGATTAAAATGGCAGCTTACTGTTCGCCCTTGAAAGTAGGCAATAAAAGTTGTTGCAAACGCATTTCCAACCATTTCTTTAAAACAAATGCACACTCACACAGCTGCAGACTTAGACATGCCAACACTCACTCAGACAATCGCCTTGGGTGCGAAAGAAAAACTAGTTTTCCGACACACACACACACATACGTACTCTTGGATTTTGTGGGCCATACCCCTGGCATACTTTCATTTGACTTTGGTCACGATACAAAACGTTTATTGTGCGCATAATGGGCAACAACAACGGCAACGGCAACAGCAACAGCAAACAAAACAAAAACAAGTAACATAAAAAAATAAAGGCAACAAAAATAGGGAATAAAAAAATTAAATAAAAAACAGCAAGACCAAACGATAACAATGTAAACAAATGAAGGCACGAAAGTAAAACAAAGCCAGAGTAAAGTAAATTATTTGAGAAACCACACGCACAATCTGCTTTTGGGTGGGAAAACTAGGGGGTGGGGCAACCAAGTGAAAGGCGCAAAAGACCAAGAAAAGAAAGCAAAAATCAATAATGTACACAAAAACACGGTCATTTCTGTCCCTTGGCGACCTTTCTTATTGTTGTTGTTGGGGAAAGGCTGCGCACAATCATCGCATTGTGCAACAAACAAAGAGACCAAAAAATCAAACAAATTTTACATTCATGTGTGCGTGCGTGTGTATGTGTCCTGCTGCTTCCTGTTTTATATTTTTGGCCATAAATTCAAGCCAGTTTGGTTGACAGGGGGGGGGGGGGGAGTAGGTGTAATGGGCGTTGGGCTGGCAAAAGGACACTAAAATCATCATCATCATCGGCCGCCGAGCAGGAGAAATGGGAGAAAGCAGCCGTGGCTTGTGCTATTTTTAAACCAACCGCTCCAAACACTCGCACACAAACACACGCAGGCGCATAAATAGCACACACACACACATAGACAGGGGGAAAACAAACAGGCGGCACACTCGCACACACACTCACGCACTTTCTGCGTGGGCCAGCCTCAATGTTCGCATTAATGTCACTCATACGCACAGTTGCACATGCAAACAAACAACAACAAACAGCTAGAGTAACAGCAACAACAACAACGAGCAGGCAACATCAACGTCAACTGGTAGTGTTGGTCAACGATTTAATTAAATTCAGCCCCATTCCCCAAAGATCCTCAGCTTGGTCTGCTGGCATTTTAAAATAGCCCAAACCCCCGTTCATATATCCTGGTAACACACACACACACACACATATCCTGCCATACCCACGCAGGATATGCGGTCTATATTTACTTATTCACAGCCTGGTCGCCCATATGCGACACATTTCGCGTTGATGTTGCGGTTGGCTTTTTAGTTGGGGAAAGTCCCCCCTGGAAGGTCCTTCTAGCACCCATTGATTTTGTGTGCTTAATCGAAAATGTAATTCATTTCACAAATTTGTTGCACAGTTTTGGGCGGGATTTTTGGGGGTGGTGGGATTTTGGAAGTTTGTGGGCCTGACCATTGCACACACATTCACATTTTGCGGCTAACACAGAAGCTGAAACGTGTAACTAACACACCGAGAGCTCTCTATAAAGCGCATTGTATTTTGGCTAAGTGAGGTGGAATTCGAATGAGTGTGGGTGGAGTCACCTACCTAATACCATTAATAATATTATAGTTTTCTGGCTAGTTTGCTACTCTCAAATGATACAAATTATCAAACTTTATTCATTTCCCAAGTCGGAATCTATGTTATTTCACAATGTTCTGTACTATCCCTAGTTTTTTTATAATTTTCAAATAAGGTTTATTTTAATATTCAATTCCTAAGCAATACTCTTCAACTTATTTTAATGTAATAAAATAAATAAAAGTCCGAAAATGTCTGGTATTTTTCAACCGCCTTAATAATGATCTAAAATATCTGTAAAAAAACAAAAACGCGAATTCTTCAGTTTCGTCATACAAATATTTTAATCAATAAATTGCTATTTTCTATAATTTTGATCAAAATTAAACATTACTAAAATTATCTTCATCTATTATTTTCCAATGAATTCCTTTATAATGTTATACAAGCTTTTAAGAGTAGTGTTCCTTATTTTTTGTTCAATAAAAAGTTGTTCTAAACAAAAAACTTACTTATTCAATTACAAATTCAAACTTTATTTTGACCCAAAGCCTAACTGAGGGAAACCAAATGTTTGGCTCATAACCAAAAGTGGTTATTCTGCATTCTTCTTTGGAAAATTCAACTGATTTTATTGTAGTTGATGCTGCTGAGCTGTTGTTGTTTCCTAAGTTGCTGTTGTAACTGATTGTTTTTTTGGCAGTATTTCTATTTTTTGGCATTTGTCAGACTTTTTTTTTGCGCGCTATAAGCATTTTTGTTTACTGGGTGCTAATCTATTTGCATTTTGCATTTAAATATTTCATTTTTTGGCTGTCTAAGCATTTTGTTTGTGGTTTGAATGTTGTTCGCTGATCTGAGTGTGTGTGGCAGTTGTTGGTTTTTTCTTGTGGTTGTTGTGGGTGCAATTCAAGAGAAGCTTCACTAACTGCAACTGACACTCACCTTAAAGAACTTGGCTTTTTAAATTTAATTTATATTTTAATTCTTGTAAGTTATAATTCCATGGGTTTGTAATTTGCGAAGGTTTGTATTATATTTTTGGTTTCTTTTTTATTTACAGATCCCTTTTAGCTGCTGCTGTTGCTTTGGAATTCTGTTTTAGGCCGTTGCCTAATTTGTGGCACAAATTGCTGGGCATGTTAGCCAACCACCCCGCACACAGACACACACACACACACACACAGGGGCTCAGGTGGCACCAAGGAGCACCACCCACTCAACCACCCACCACCCACATAAAGATTGCGTGGCAGTACAGTAAACAAATCGAGCGTTTTCCTTCTACCTGCTAACCAACAGCAAAATGGCAAAAATGAAAACAAAAATAAAACAATAATATTAAGTTGCCTCCGCTTTTCTTTCTTTTTTTGCGAGGGTGTGTGTGCTAGTGGGTGGCTGGGTGGTTTTTAGACCCACCAAGCGAGTGCCTTGGGTTCGGGGTCGTAGGTGGATGGGTGGGTGGTTCAGTGGGTGGTTCGGTGGGCGGCTGAGTGGCTCGGGTGGTTGGCCATATGCAAAAGCGTCCGTTGGGCGCCACAATTTGCGCAGTGTATTGTTAGTCGATTGACTGATTCGAGAGCAAATTTGTTTGCTTTTTTCGCCTTGGCTGTTGGGTGCGCTTTCGCTCAATTGGGCAGGATTTAAAGCGATCTCAAGGTCGTGGTTACCTTTTATTTTTTTCTCACTTTCACTTTAATTTTCACACTTTCTGCGTGTTTTTTTTGGTTAACTCCGGCTGCTGGCCAATTAGCCTTGGCTGCTGCTCAATGCCAAGTTGCCAATTATTTATGCTTCATGGCCAATTAAGTGCATTTCTTTATGTTTCACTGGCGCGGCTCTCTCTCTGCACTTTCTCCGCTTTCTCCGCCCGACAGCCACATGTCAGGCCTCCTTCAACTCCTTTATTTTATTTAGCTATTTATACAATTTCCGCCCAAGGTTATTTTTAGCTCAACATTCACATTTCACAGAGTTTGGCTTTCGTTTTCAGCCCGCTTTGCTTTCGCTTTCACTCACTCGCTTTTCACTCGTATTTCGCTAAGCGGGGATTTTCCGATTTTCCAGCAAACGTATTTTTGCTTATATTACGGGTAGTAGAATATTGGTTCCCCGTTGTTTTTTTTTCTATTTTTTTTTTGCCACACACGTGCGAATTTTACGAGAAGGACCGCTGCGGCTGTTTACTCGCCTTTAAAGTTCATCGAAAACTAATTTCGTTTCGATTTCATAAAAAATCTCAATGGAATTTTCGCTTTACGCTGCCATTCGCTTTCCCTTGCGCCTACTCGCATTCTCTCTCTCTCTCACTTTCTCTCGCTTTCTCTCGCGAAAGGTTTTTGTTATTGTTGCCTGTGTTGGAGCCTACAACATTTCCAATAACAATGTTACACGGCGTCCATTTTCCCATGGCTTTTCCAGTGGCGAACTAAAAATAAAGTTAAGCGCGTGGCCAACACCGCAGTCGCTGCCTCAGTCGACGCAGCAGCCAGCAGCGATAACATTGACAGCTGCTGCTGCTGCTGCCGCCCACCACCCACCACCCACTCTTGAGGACCACCCACCCACCGCCCACTTTAGGGTCAGCGGGTTTTTCCTGTGCTTGTGTTTGCCACCTTCAAGGCGAATCTCTGGCAAAGTCAACGTGTTTGTCTTTGCCTTCCAGCAAAAGTGGGCGATGGGCGGTGGGCGATGGGTGGGTGGTTGGATTTTCCGCGCGTGCTGGATGCGGAAAAGCTGGGAAAAGCCACTACCACTGCCACTGCCACTGCAAGTGCAAGTGCAATCCTGGCTGGCTGTAGTAGGCACCATGACGCTGCACAAACCCAAAAACGCAGAGGCACTGAATGAAATGACGTCGCTGCAGGGGAAACCCAGGCTGGTAAAGGGGACTCCCCCCGATTTGCAGACACCAGGAGGCGGAAAAGCCGAAAGTGGCCAACGTGACGCAGATTGGGATAGTTATTAAAAAGAGTTCAGGAGTTCACAGACGCTAAATCACCCGAAATAAAAAGTTACAGTCAAAGTTCTGTGGCTAAAAATATCATCTAAACAGCCGGAATATTAATAAAAACGTATGTGTTTTGACTTATAGAGACTTTAAGCTGCTAGAGCTGGACTGAAATTTAAATATTTAAAATATATTTTAGAAAAAATAATGTAGATTTCAAAGTAATTTCAGGAAATATCATTATTAATGCATTATAACAAAATTTAGAAATGTTCAAATTTTGAAGCAAAGAAAAAGTAATATATCCCAAAAAGAGTTCACGAGTTTCTGAGCTCATTCTATAGATATATTTTAGATTTCTGCTTATATCCTCAAGAAATCGGAATATTTGACTGAAATTTCCAAGAAAGATTAGGATTTTCTGTATATATTTTTAAGGTTTTTTAGATTTCTTTTTAGTTTCTACAAAAATTGTGGAATTCATAAAAATATTTTACTAATATATTTTAGAATTTAGAAACAAAATAAAAACGAAACTAACTTAATTTATGGTCATAATAGATCCAGCTCTTTTATGTTTCCTCAATCGTGGGTTAAGCCAAACTTTTTGTGGGTTTACGCGCGCTTCACGCCAACATCAGCTGCTCCTCTGCCTCGCCCACCCACTTGACCGCCCACCGCCCGCTGCCCACCGCCCACCGCCATGAAAGTGGATGTAAAAACATCGAAGGGGGTGCCAAAGGGGGGTAAGAAAATACAGCGCATGCGTCTTACTTCACCACGATGGTGTGTGGGAATTTTCCAAGCGAGTCTTCGAACGGGAAATTCCAACGCATGACGTCTGGCAGGGGACTATTGTGAACTAACCAGCAGAGTGGTGGTGGGTTCTCATTGGCACCACTGTGGTGAGTTCCGAGTGCAGTTGCACCGAGAACACGAGCCACATGGCATCCACCCAGTCCACCACCCACAACCCACCACCCCACTTTCTCCTTTTCCCCCGAGACTTTCACTTCGGTTTCGATTTCTTTATCACTTTGCTGCATTTCGGCATTTAATTTACGGGATGCAGACATAAGTTTGCCCACCTGGTTATCGCTGTGGTTGCACGCCAGATCAGGTGGGTGGTGCTTTTTTCGGTGGGTGGGTGGTATTGAGAGGGGGTGGTTGAGTTGAATGGTGGGACTGTAACTTTTGTGCGCCTAATTTTATGCCCCACAAACACACACTCTGGCTGTAAAGCATTTGCGGGGCCAAAGTTTAAATCAATAATTATTATATGCTAGTTTGTTGGGAAATTGAAAATGACAGTAGGAGTTGAGTGGGCGGGGCTTGTCGGTGGGCGGTGTAAGTGCAACATGCTTGCCAGAAACTTGCGCGCTAATGTGCAGCAATAAAAAATTTAAATCACCAAGCGCCGCATGTTGCACTGCCACCGAAACAAACACTCGAAGAAATAAAAGTTTAAGATCTTAAAGATTTTTAGTAAAAAATGTTATTATATTTTTAAAACATGAAACCATTTAAGAGTTACTGTTGACCAATATATCTATGAAATCTGTAAATTAAAAGTTTTAAACTCTTTAAAACCAAATTTTGATTAGAAATTAATCATTTAATAAACCCCCTAACCTTTTTATAAACCTGGAGTTTCTCAACTCTTAACCATGAATTTAATTAGTATGAATTTTAAAGGCTCTTTAAATTATATAGAAATGGCATGTTATAGGTTATGATTGATAGCTTTCAAGACTTTTTCTCTGAGTGCCTGCCAAACTGTCGCCTGTCGAGGGAGTGAAAAAAAGAGGGGGGTGGGGGTTGGGCTTAAGGGTGGCAGAACTGCAGCAAGTGCCAACAAGAAACTTTCTAATTAGGATAATAAATTTGCCAGCATCGCACTTGACAACGTGGCCCGGCATCTCTCAAAACATGAAGAGCAGAAGAAGGAGCAGCCTTCGAGGAAAGCCGCCCCCTCTGACACCCCCTCCCCCTTCTTAGGAAATGCCACCCCCTTTCGGAAGGAAAAGCCCCCAGCCAGAGCGACATCATCAGGCAAGTGCAGCTGCTTGGCCAACTTCTTGATGTTTTGTGGTGGCTGCCAAAAAGGAAAAGCTGCTCGGCCTGCCTTTTCCTCCATTTTCACTGCCTTTCCCTGTTGGAAAATGTGTTTTCGGGTCAGCTGTGTGCAACCTTCCTGCCTTTCACTGGCATATAATTTATGCTGATTGCATTTAACGGCCATCGCGAAGCCGAGTGAAAGTGTGCAGCGTCCAGGAGTGGCTCTTCTGGCCTCTCTCTGTAAACAATTTATTTTTATTTTCGCCGCTTCCGCGGCACCTTCTTGTGCGCTTTTACCGTGCACCCACCACCCCCACGCTTTTCCGCCCCCCCCCCCCCCTTTCAGATTTTCCCTTGCATTCGCCGAGTCAAGTGCCCCCGAGATAAGCGCATCGAAATGTTTCCGCTACAAAACATTCCTCGCCATTCGCCATTCGCCTTTCGCTTTTTGCACCAGCTTTTCCTCGCTTTTCCCCCTCAATTTTCCCCCGCACTGCACGTGTGTGTGTGAGTGTGTCTGTGTGAGCTCTCTATTTTTATAACCCCCGGCATGCAAGTTGCGTTTTTCCTTTTGCGGGTTGAAAGTGTTTTGCGAAAACTTTTCCAGTTTAACAGCTTAAACTTTCATTCCTGTGCTAAGCGCAAATTTAGGGGTTTCCTTATCCAGCTTAAATCGAACTTAAGGCCTTAAATTTAGCTTAAAGTTAGCTTACAGATGGTTTTTTAATAGACATTGAAAGAAAGAAACATATATATAAAGTATATACACCGATAAACGAAACACAGAAATATGAGGCAAAACAGAAGTTAAAAGACTTTTGAGTTGGTTTTCGGAAAGAACATCAAATATTGGATCTCAAAAAACGAGTCAAAGAAAAAGACAACGCACCAATGTGAGACAAGAGAGTGCTACGTTTTCGAAAGATTTGCTTTTGTTTTTCTTATAAAGGATATAGGATTTTGGTAGAGCGAGCGAGCCAAAGAAAAGTTTACACAGAGAGATAGATAGTGAATTACAGAGAGGAACATTTAAAATGGATTTTGTGGGTTCTTGGGGGCATTGCCTTGCGGGATATTCAGAGCGGAAGATATGGAAGCGATGGTTTTTTAAAGATAGACGGGGAGATAGATATCAAAGGATATATAGAGTCGGGGATTTCAGAGATAGAGCAGAGATAGAGAGCAGGGAGGAGGGGGTGAATGCGAATTGGACAAAACGTTTCAACTCACCGTCATAGTCCGAGCCGGCGGTAACCGTGGCCACGCCCCCGATCCGGCCGCCTGCGCCTGCGCGGCCAGCAGCTGCTGCTGGAACTCCTCCTCCGAGCTGCTGAAGGACCTCTGTTGCTGCGAGGCGTACTGCGATCCTGCCAGGGCTCGCCGCTGCTGCTGCTGCTGTTGCTGCTGGCTGTAGGCACTGGAGTCCATCGCATGACCCCCGCTGATGGTCAGGTTGCGGGTCAAAGGTGGCGGCTTCTGGTAGCCACCCATCTGCGCCGTCTGCTGGCCATGCTGCTGCTGCATCGTCTGATGTTGCTGGTGTTGCTGCTGCTGCGGATGGGGATGCGGATGCGGATGTTGCTGCGGCTGCTGGTGTATCTGCGCCTGGTAGGATTGCTGCTGCTGATGTTGCTGCCTAGATGCAAATTGCTGCTGCTGCTGCGGATGTTGCTGCGGTGATTGGCGATGCTGCTGCGGCATTAGGTGTTGTTGCTGCTGCTGGTGCTGCGTGTGCGACTGCGACTGCGGCGGATGTTGCGGCTGCACCTGGCTGGGATGCGCCAGGTGCGGATGCTGCCTCATTAGGCCATCCAGCTCACCCTGCAAAACATTTAAACGGTATAAGTAAGCACCAGCAAGATCATTGAAATGTTTAATTTTTTAGGGGGTATACTATGGGAAAAATGTCTTTATATAAGGTACTCTGCTTACCTGATAGTATCGCGGATCGTCGTCGGGATAGGCGCCACCCGACCTCTGCTGCTGCTGCCCTCCGTATCCCTGCTGCGCCTGCTGCGGATTCATGGGCTGCATCCGAGAGCGCTGCTGCTGCTGCAGCTGCTGCTGGTGGTGCTGCATCTGCTGGCCGGGACTCATCATGGGGTCCATCCCGCTGTCGGAGGCCGAGAGGCGGCGGTTGGTGGGCTGCTCCTGCTGCGAGTACTGGCGCCGCAGCATGCTGCCCGCCCGCTGCATCGGCAGGTTCTCCTTCTCGGCGGCACTGCGCGTCCGCTCCAGCTTGGGCCGCTTGTCCGTGGTGTCGTGCGGATCCACGATGGGGTGCTGCGATATGTCCTGTCGTATAAACCATAAACACCCTGATTGTCCAATCTTCAGCATCTACTTACGCTGCTCCCATCCGGCTCGATGCGTCGGATGAAACCATCTTGCTGGGCCGCCGTCTTGTTGATCCACTGGCCAGTCTTTGACAGCAGCTCCTGCTTCTTGCGGCACAGGATGCACACCCAAATCACCTGGAAGGGGAAGTAGATATATCAATTTAGATGCAGGTTTATATTGGAAAACAGACAGGATTTGTTGAGGAATAGGATATCAAGTAGTGGTATGAAAGTAGAATAGAATACATTCTTTTCTTGAATTCAGGACACTTTATATTAATACAAAAATCTTCATTACCTCGAAAATTCTACAATTCTGGGCGAATACTGTTTTTGGTACTGTAATATTTCTACAATAAAATGTAGAAAATATATATTAAAATAATAAAACCTTCACACTCAAAAATTGTTTGACCTATGTTTTAAAGATTTTTAGTAGAGTTTTTTTTTTAATTTAAAAAAACCTGTAATTTAACAAGTTTACTTGAATTAAAATAAATGTTCTATAAGAGCAGACAATTTTTTAAATTAATTAAAAAATCCTCACTGACTCTAGATCCTTTTCTCATTTGCTTAGGTTTTATCTCATCCCATCCCTTACCTGTATGTCCAAAAATATTGAAGCCAATCTAGTCTACCCAGGTGCTTCAATCATTCCAACACACACACACACCGAAGGTTCCGGGACACACCGGGGAATTTACACGAAAGCCAGCGACACGCTTTCAAATTGGCAACCTGGCTTTTGCCATGGACGAGTCACTAAATCTGAGTGTCAGAGGGATACAGCATCAACTGGATGAATCCGAGGAGGACCAGGAGGAGGAGGAGCAGGAGGAGGAGGAGGCGGAGGAGGAAGAGGTCGAGGAGGAGGAGGTAGAGGAGGAGGTAGAGGAGGAGGTAGAGGAGGAGGTGGAGCTAGAGGAGCTGGAGGAGGAGGACGTGGACATCGAGGAGGAGGAGGAAATGGAGAAGGAGGATGAGGAGGAAGAGGAGGAGGTGGATGAAATCTTCCTGGAGAATGTGGTCGAGCTTGAGGACGGTACCCGGCTCCTCTACTTCTTTCGCAAAATTTACCGCTTCGTGAGGTCAACATTTTTTATGACCACCTATGTGGAGCAGTTGCCGACTGAATATTTTACGGGTTTCAGTAATATGCACCTTGTGCACCAGATCAAGAGCGATCGACAGGTGAATCGGTACCGCTTCTACCACCTGACGCTCTACTTCCGCGCCTTCAGATCCACCACATTATCCTGAGGAAGGGATACCTTGCCGTGGTGCAATCGTGTCACAGCCAAATTGAAATTCCATTTGGCATTTGTTCGGAGTTGTTGGCCCATCTCGTTTCATTTTGCGCCCTGGCATTCACTTCTTAACCCCCTTTACCCTCCTGAGAAAAAACCCACGTCTCTGCCCTTTTCTGGGGCTCTCTGTATGTGTATGTGTGTGACATTTTGGCAGCAGTTCAACGGAAAAACGTTTGGCAGCAGGGCCAGAAAATGATAAGCCTGGGCAGCGCAAAAAAAGAAAAGAGGGGCAAACAACCAAGGAAACGGTTCACTGAGTTAAATAAAAATTGAAAAAAGTGTAATTGAAATGCAATGCACTGCGAGGGGAGGATGGAGGGGAGGAGCAGTGGATTCAAAAGAAAGAATTCGGAGGGACTTTCTTCAATGCCAGCAGAAGATATCCTGCCATCAAGGTTACTGGTTAAGGTAACCCGAAATAGGACACAGTGGCATGGAGTATAATTTGTACAGAAAACAATATGATATTTTAAAGCAAGAAGTGTTATAAAAATAAATAGATTCATTTAAATATGTTTAAGTTTTCAGAGGACTGTGGAATAATTTATTAGAAGGGTTAATGATTTCTTAAGCTTTATAAAATCAAATAAAATATATTTTTTAAATATTCAAGGGTAACACAAATGGAAATATTAAATTAAAGTAAAGGGACTCCTATTTCTTAAGTAGCCTTGACTTCAACGAGATAACCCCTACTGCAATTATAAATCTCTTCCTAACAAGCCAATTTATTGTGCATGATTTGGTACATCTCCGATGCCCAGAAAGATATTACACATAGTTATAATCTATTTCTGGCACCCCAAGGGGTTCCGTCATCTCATATCCTTGACCAGAGGCATCGCTGGAAACTGGGAATTATTTCTAAATTATGAGTGTGAAATTGAGAGGCGTTGGGATTTTGGATGGGGAGATATGGAGGCCAGGCTCTTGGGATAGGGAAATGTCCTCCGTACCACCCACTGCCCACTACCCACTCGCCAATTATCCGCGATGGCGATGGCGGACTGAAAGGCGACAAAGGGCATTTATTCATGCGCTCCACGCGTCACTGGGGACAGTTGGCAACAAGCGGCGATGGCCTATGGCAATAGCCCTGTCGATGTGGCAATGGGGCGTATGAGTGATGGCTGCTTAGTCAAGCGGCAGCCGGGTCGCCAGTAATATTGGCACCAGCGCTGTCCTATTTGTCAATGAGCGGAAAACGAGCTCGACACCCTTAAGGAAAAAATAAACTAGACTATTTTTCCGCTGTCACGCGCGTTAAACCCAATAGAAGAGGAGGGAATCCTGGTTGGCTGTCAGGTGAATGGAGTGGTTTGTAGGCTAACTCACCTTGTTGCTGCGGAGCGTCACCTTACCGCCGCACCGGGCGCAGCAGCGAATGTTGCAGTAGTGGCAAATGTGGCCCACTCCGTCGGCGAACTTGGTCTTAAGGCATATGTGACAGGTGGCATCCAGCTCCACGCCGGCCTTCTTCTGCTGCTCGGAGCGCTGTCTGATTTGCATTTCCAGCGTGACCACCTCGTCCTGTTTCCGCCTAAAGGGGATCAAGATGGGAAATCACCGTTAGAAGGGAATTTCACAGAGAAAATATCAGGTTTAAGAAAATTAAAGTGTCTTACAACTGTAATAACTTAATAAATTAGAAACCCTTTCAATATGCCAGTCTATTACTATGTTTATGTTATGAATTTCATGCATTCTCCAATACATTAAATTATAATAGCCACTGTTTATACAATACAGACAAATTCATGAAATGATATTAGTAAAGCTGTCAAATTGTTTGAATTTGATATAGAGCTTTATAGAGTGGTAGGCTGTGAAGTAGGCTGTGCCTCAACATTTCTTGCATTGGGACTGAATTCATAGTCAACTTTCGTGTGTTATCGAATTCATGAAATGGTGTTTATGCACACACGAATTTGCTCATTTCGTGAATTGATTTCATAGCATAAACACAGTATATGTGATTAACATGAGACTACATTAAGATTATAGAACATTGCAAGATGTATAATGTGTTTTTGTTGGTCTTCAAATGTAAACCATCATCCTTGATTATTTTTACTGTAAAATTATTGTTAATCCTACATATCTCTTAATGATCCCATGTCCTAAAATGCTTTTCATGCATTATATATATATTTATTTTATTTTTTTGGAAGGCAACCTTGGCTGTTCTTTTCGATGCATGCAAGATCCCTTGTCAAAACCGCATTCCGATGTATCAATCTTAACGATATTTTCGATAAGATACGATTAAATGGGATTTTTATCGGTAAATCATATCCTCTCGATACACAACCATACTGCAAAGTCGAACATAACCAAATATTACCATCCCCCAAACTCACCGCATGATCTCGTTCTGCTTCTCCTCCTCCTGCTTCTGCCGCATGAGGACATTCTCGATCTGCATCCGCTCGTGGGGCGTGAGGTGCGACAGGTCGGGCATTTCGTCCATGGCTCCGGTCTGTGGATGTCCTTCAGAGGAATTGTGGTTCTGATCGGAGTTCGTTGACGTGTTTCGGTACTTGACTAGCGTTAGCTGCTCTACTTAGGCGCAGTGTAATAAACTTTGGTTGGTAATATTTATAGAAATTGTTTTCGATTGAATTTAAAGCTTTTCCTTGGGGATTTGATAAACTTCTCTCTTGTTTAGTTTAGCTTGGAATGCAGTTTAGCAATATTTATAAATACTTTGTGTTATTAAATATTATTATTATTATTTGGATTACTAAACCATTTCTGATAGAAAATCACAGAGCAAATTTCAAATATTTTTTATGCTTTTCTTTTGTTATTTGTAATGAACTTTTGTTAGATTTGTTTTGTAGACTTTTGGAAATTCGTTGAAAATTGTTCACAATGCACTCGTCGTCCTTTGTGTGCGTGTGTGTGTGTGTGTTGAATGTTTTATGTGTTTTATGCGCTCTGTATGCTTGTATTTGTGTTGCGGTCTGTTTGTGTGTGCGTGCCCTCTGACCCCTTTTCACTGGCGACTTTCTTAGTGAGCGCCGTTTTTTGTTGTTCTGTGAGTGTTGTTCCTCTTCCTTCTTTGTTTAGACCTCTGTACTTCTTTGGCTGAATGCAAATTTGAGTGGAAAATTCGTTTCTGGTTTTTGTTTCATTTTTCCACCGCTCTATATCGTTGCCGGGCCTTTGTTGTTGTCTCTAATTGCTGTTGTTGCTGCAGCGGCCTTTGCCCAGTTGGTTGCGTCCCTTGTTGCTGTTGTTGCCCAGTGCGTTTCGGTGCCATTTTTGCGTTGAGATCGTTCCGAATTCGCAGGCCCCTCGGTTTTCTAGGGAGTCGTCTATAGTCTCCAGTTGTTCAGCACTACAAGGAATGGAGAAAACGAAGTAAGGAATAAGATTTAAAATTTAGAAAAGAATTAAAGACTTTAAGACTAAGTTATCTTACTATACTTTATTTAGAATGTCAAATATTTTGTTACTATATGTGTAAAATATTTTTTTAGATACTATCATTATCATATGATACTAAGATGATATGTTCCCAGAGAAATACTACTGTTCTTCACAAAACACTATGGTTTTGAAATCACTTGCAAAAGTAATTTTTATCTGTCTAAAAGTATGCAACAATATATATTCAACTTAGAAATACGATTAATACGTTCAGAAAGGCGACTATAATTTATTTACTGCATACTTTTTGGCAGCTTAAATTACATTTTAGGGAGATTTAAAAACCCTAGTTGTTTAAACTTGAGGTTTTTGCTGCATTAATATTTTAATAAAACCTCACTTAAATGGATTCAGTTTTTTATTAAGATACCTTTTCAGATTGGTAAAATACGTTGATAAATAAATACAATTTAATTAATTTTGACTACAGAACTGCGCATATGTGAAGCGATTAATATGCCACTCAAATGGCAGCAAAACTGTTTCGTTCCAAGTAAAACATTTAATTAAACCTCGTAAACCAAATGCAATGCGAAATTTAAAAAACAAACAAAAAGTAAGCCAGGAGGAAATGAGAATTTTAACGAGATGAACGGTGCGGGCAAAGCAGGCATAGGGGGTCCTTCTGGGAAATGGGGGCCAGGAGGTGCCGGGGTGGTCAGTATCTGGCCGCAATGCAAACATATGTAACTGTATTTATGGCCATCAACGTGCCAGGGCAAACAACCAGCCGCAAAACCAGGCAGGTCCCCCAGTGAGATGGAGGGTCGAAAAGGATGCGGAGTGGAAGGGGAGGGGAGGGGGGCCACGGGGCACTGCGGTTGACACCGTGACGCACGAACAAAATGCGAAAATATATATGAGGCCATGCACATGTGCACTGAGAAAATATATTGTTATTAAAAAAACACGTAATAATATTACTAGTTTCCTGTGGAAAATTACTTTCAAATTTTTTAGTAAGTTCTTACAAAATATACCATCTGTTAAAAATGCCATCTGAACCACATAGCAGTTGGAGATATGTCCTATACATCTAATACTATTTTTGAAAATATTGGATTGGAGTCCTTCAAACAGCCCTTTGGTTCTCAGAAATTGTAAAAATGTATTGTCTTTTCAAATGCAACGATAGATATTTCTTCTATATTTTCTTGTATGTTGGTTTTATATACCTTAATCAAAGTGTTAGATAATTCTAGGACACCAAAGTTAAACTTAAGGTTAAACAGTACTTTATAATATTAACTTTTAGACTTGGCCATCTGCCATGAAACTGTTTTCAATCCATCATTAAACACTACATATAATATTTTTGATTCATTAGACTTAAAAAGGATCTTATTATTTCCTGATCTACAAATTATATAAAAACCATAGACCATGGTTATTTTTCCCAGTGCACTGTAGACACTCACGCATAAGAGGAGATTGCCTGGCCAGACGGAAGAGCAAAGGGGTGTGTCAAAGTGGGTGTGATGGGGGGCAGAGTAGGCTATTTATATATAGACAAACCCGATGGAGGACTGCAGAGTGCAACCGGAAGCAGACACTTCAGTTGCAGGGGAGCCAAAGATGCTTTCATGCGCCTCATTTCCTCTGGCTGAAAGGCGTTCGAAATTAGCATTCAATGGGCCAGGAAGCAATCCAAGCCATCGTAATTAAAAGCCATCAAGCGGCTGGCACAAAATAAAGTAAGCCAGATGCCCGTTAGATAGGCGACTTAGCCAGGATATCGGCCTCTAATCCCATTTGAAAGCCTGGTAAAGGATCAGCTGAGGCAGAAGGAGCTGCACCAGGAGTTGGAGCCCATTGCAGCTTTGATTGCATGAATATTGCAAAAGGAGGAGCAGGTCAGAGAGGTCCGACCCAAGAGGGCATTGGTTATGACCCTCGCAGCACTGAGAACAAATATGTAACTTTGCCAGACTTCGTCAACTTGTGCGACCCACTTTTAATCAAATTGAGTTGGGAAACATTAAAACCCATGTCAAATCATCAACTACATGAAAAATGCGATTGATTTCGCTCATGAATGTGTATTTATTGCTGCTTTATGGCGCATCCTTAGGGCATGCAAACACACCAACTCGCATATTTACAGAGGGAGAAAAACCTACTAACTCTTTAAGAAAGAAGATAATAACAAAATTTAAAACTTATCATAAACCTAACTTTAAATTGAGAATATTATTTATTAATTTACTACAGATATCTCTAACTCCGTTTATATTTAAAGTATAATTCTATCCAGTTATTTTTAAAATTATAGAGAACTTATGAAAATAATCCTAGATGTTTTAAGTATTAACAAAATATTTGAATATGCTTTCTTTAAGAAATACAAAAATGTTTAGTCATCGTTATTCGATGGACAAAAGGCACATAATATAAAATAATATAGTTCTTATATCTCTTAATTATTTTATGTAATTAATATAATAACAATAAAATATAAATTAAATGATAAATATATTTAGTTGTAATGTTACAGTAGATCCCAAACCTATCCTTTACATATTAAGGAACTCCCTTTTCTTCCTGTGCAGCTGCAACCCCCTCTTGGCCTATAACTTATGTAGTTCAAGCGAGATAAAATCCAGCTCCATGGTGTTTATGGGCCTGCTTTATGCTGCCATCCACATCCACAGAGGTCCTCCGGCGATGGCGTGTATCTTGCCTTAGGTACATGGTATATGGTATACTGTATGGGTTGTCTTGTGTTTCAGCGGGAGCTCATGAATTGATAATGCAGCAGATGCAGCATGGGCTGCAACAACAGCGCCAACGTGCCATGCAAAATTGATGGTTGCGTTGGCTGTTTGAGGGGCTTAAGTGGCTGCTTTATGGGCCACCACGGAACAGGACATCCAGGGATGTCCTGTTGGCAGCAGCGATTTTAATACCGGAAATCAATCTCTTGGCTCCTCAATCAATTGATTAAGATGCCAGTTATGGCCGAGTTTGTGTTTTTATCCCCACTTTACCCAAAGTTTTCGCAAATAAAGCGAGGAAAACACAAAAATCAGCATATTAACTGAGAGAGAGCGAGAGAAAGTCGAGGAAGAAAGGGAGAGAAGGCGGTTAACAACTCACCACGACCCAACTCAACTCTCAATGCGCGCGCTTTCGAGGGCGCTAACGGTTTAACTGCTCGGCAGTGAGCGAATTTCCCGGGAATTTCCCCCTGTGAATTTCCCAGCCACCTGCTTCGCAGTAGATAGAAATTTCATGCGCTGACCGCGCGAACTCGACAGCAACAACAACAATAGCAATTACTAAGGGAACAAAAAGAAAGAAAAGCGCAGCAATAGAAAACCCCAAAGCATTTGGGGGGCAGAGGGAAAACTTATCAGGCACAAGGATGAATTATAATAATAATGAAAAATCCAGGGGTGCGGAGGGGCTGCCTTCTGCATTCCTTGTCCATCCACCGACCAAGGTTATCTCACATTACGCATACGCCCCGCAGGCCAGGAGGGGGAAGCGGTTGGGAAGGGGTTGGGAAGGCGTTCACATGGGAGTGTGTGTGCACAAATGTGAAAGTTCACCAGCCAGCAAATGCTGAGTGCAACTGATAATTGACACTTTCAATTAGCCATCGCAATCAGCAACAGAAGCGGCAACAACAATGTGCCCAGCGGCTGGAAAACCTCATCGGAAATGCATTTGAAAAGCTTGAAAAACAGCACTGAGCAGTCAACGGGGAAGGCAACACAAGAAAGCCATCAGGCGAAAGGTCAAAATGCTAAATGGCCAACCGCAATCGAAAACAATGTGAATAATATATGTGGTTGAACATCTTTTAATTTGACTATTTTTAAAGCTGAGAGAACAAAAATTGCTGTAGAGTTGGGTAAAATCCTTAAGGAAAAGCTCTCTGAAAAACTTAAGACAAGATTTATATGATAACATTAAATGAAACTTGAGATATAATATACATGTATTATAGTCTTAGTATTTTTTATCATTTAATTGTGTTTTTTTCAGCCAGAGAAGATGAAAATTCCTGTTAGGATGGGGAAAACACATCAAAGAATTAGTTTAAAAAATTGAAAAAAGTGAATACATTTAAAACCCCATGCATATTTTAAGTTTTCCCAGAAATTGTGATGAATTGGCAAGCAGCTTATATTTCTCCGAAACGCCAAGCAAGCAATTTCTTCTGTTTCCCACGATTGCATTCTTTGTAATTTCAATTACTTAATTCCCGGAAAAACTACTTCTTCCACCCTCCATTTATTTTAAATTTTAATCCCAGCTACGTTTTAAGTAGTTTTGCACTTATTTTTATCCACTGAAAGGGCAAAGTTTCAACCGGTTGCTCGCTTAGGAACTGGGTCATTTATCAACTGACATCACCTGTCAACGGGGGGTTTCCTTATCGAGCTAAGGATATATACCTATATATATATATTCTAGCCCCCGTGACATCACCCCACCCATGGAGATCGCTCGAAATTTATGCAGATAACTGAATTGGCGAGCGAATTTCTCATGGCGTCAGCCATTTTTAGCCACCGGGTGCAATGGACTTGGAAAACTCGCTTTTCGCACTTGTAGTACTCACACACACACTCACTCACACTCGCTAACTCACTCGAATAGAGTCATAAAAGAAAACGTGGCCAAGTTGCCGTTTGTGTTGTTGCAGCCAAAAACTATAAACGAGGCAATGACTTGGTGACTTTTTGCGGTCGCCTGCCAAATGGAACGTCTTGGGGGTTTCCCCGCCAGCCTGACTAATGGCCATTTTACATTCTATTTGTTTGGCCGGGCCTAGAGTCCATAATTGCACTTATTCATTCATTCATACTGTCGACCACCAGGCCGTTGACTCGCGTGTGGGCCAGGCCAAAAGGGATATCTGTGTGCCTTTACCGGAAAAGGGAAGCTGGAACAATGCCACTTTGTCGCTGGGCTTGTTCAACTTTTTCAATTGCGCGCACAATTTCCATGCAATTAACGGCAAACAAATACGAGCGACAAAAACTTGTCAATTGGGGGGGGGGGAACACAGGGTATTCTCCTGCCAACAAGAGGGGAAAAGTGGCCAAAAGGGCGAGCAATGACATCGAAGCATAAAAAGCAATTTCATGCACCCCCTTGCAAAGGAAGGGGTGCAAAAGGAAGGGGTTCCAGTGTCAATGGATAGTTGTTTCAATGATGTCCAACCAGCCAGCAGAACGCCCACACACATCCACGCCCACTTGTGGCCCACACACACACAAAGGCCCTTTGCCCATTACTCATACGCCCCGTGTGCATTGTCAAACATTTATGACGTCCATTTTGGCCAGTGGGTGCTCTTGTGTCGTCATTACCATCATTTGTCCATAAAGCCCCTATACCATGCCCATCCCAGCGATTCGTTGACGTTCGCCATTTGCCAACTGAATCGGAGGGAAAATCGAGGAAAATCAAGGAAAAGGAAAATCGATTCCAACTGACTGCCTGTTGCTGTTTGCTACTAGTTTACCTTTTAATTAAATTTAAGGCCCATCGATGGCAGAAAACCACCCTCCACCCAACCATTTACTGTTCATTATTGCCCAGTAAACAAAAGAGAAGAGGAAAATTGCAGACAACTGAGAAAACAGGGGCAAAATTTGCCTTATATCTGCTGGCAATTTCTCGGCCATTGTTTGGGGCAACTGTTGATGTCTTAACTCTTGGAAAATAATCTTTGATTCACTGGAAACTAATTAAATTTATTTAATAAATAAGTTACTCACAAGCATTTCTATATGAAGTTGTAAACGGCGTTGTCTGCTTATTCGTTGTTTGTTTTTCATGGTTTTTCTTTGGTTTATATTTATATCCTTTGTTTTATCATAAAGAAAAGAGTTTTTGTTTAGCTATTTACAAGGCTTTTGGTTGATTTCCATTTACTTAATAAACTTGAAAACTGCTTGGTAGAAATATTATATATTTGTTATGGTTTTTAATTATTGAAATTTATATATATTTTTTGGTAAACACTGGGCGGCTCTCGTTATTTGTTGTTTCTCTAGCGAGCTTCGCTGGTCTTCTAAGTGTAAAGTTGAAGTTGAGTTGTAATTATGTTGCATGCTGCCTCTATTGTTGTAACACACACACACGCGCGCAGGGAAAAGAGAGGGAGAGATGGAGAGGAAGAGAGAGCGAGAGAGCGCACTGCAGCTGGCAGGAAATACTGGGATGTTATTTCGCCCATACTGGGTTTCCACACACTCTACACTCAACGCAGGCCAAAGGCCATTATGGGTTAGCCAAGTTAATCATACGCACTGTGGTACATAAAAAATATACATATTTACGAGGGCTCTGTTTATTTTTAAACGTTTAAAAGGAGGAACCTATTTTTATTTTAATTGTTTTGGTTGGGTTGGCTTGCTTTGTTGTTGATGGTGTGTGGTGAACTTATCCTCTCTCTCTATTTTTACATACCCCTCTTATAAGAATTTTAACCCGCTTTAAATAGATATTTTTTTCTAAATTACTTTTGGAGACTTTAAAACTAGTTAAAATTACCTTTCTCCTTTCTTGAATTTTTAAATTTCCCCCATATCTCAAGGATAAAGGACAACTGTTAACTACTCTGCTCTACTTGTTCCTCTGTACTTGTGTGTGTGGCTTTATTTTTCTGCATATTTAATGCGTTCATCCGCACCGAATCCTGGCCAAAAGGATCACGGCCAACACAACAAAGGACCTCCGAGCAGGGGCGAGAAGTCGAGGAGCCAAGAGAGAGCGGAGAGAGGAGAGTTTTGGGTGGGATTGCGTGGCGTTGTGTGTACAGAAAAAAGCAACCAGCTCACGAAAGGCGAAAAAAAAATAGGAAAAATAACGTATCTGGGTATCCAATGGAAAATTCAGTATTTTCTTACATTTTTATACACTTTTTCTTCGGCTTCTCTATACGCTTTTAGTTTTGTGGTTGTGGTCATTAGCTTAAATCACAATTGGTTTGCACTTAGATTTTATGTAGATTTGTGTGTGTATAACATATATTTTTATATAGCTAAATATCTATATGTATATGTAGGGCTATATATATGTATATATATCTATGTGTGCAGCATTCCATATGCGCAAATGAATTTTCCGTTTAGCGAACGCATATTATAATTGGTTAGCTTAATTGTTGTTTTGCTGGCGGTTGACAGCCTGATGTTGCTGGTTGGTTGGTTGGTTGGTTAGTTGGTGTTGCCTGCTGCACCAACAACAACTAGATGGAGTGCGGCGACAACAACAACCACAGCGACAACGACAACGACAACGACGACGGATGCGACGACGGCAACGACATCACGACGGCACGACAACGACTGAAAACTGGACCCGCAGCTGGAGCTGGAAAAGCTATTTGGCTATATGGCTATATGGCCCACCTACATCAGGAATTCGCTTCGATTGTCGTCAGCAGTTCAGGAATTTCTCTCTCGTTAACCCCCCATTCAGAGAGCCTCTCGCAGGAACCCTCTCTCTGGCCCTCTCCCGTGGTGAATTCACCAGGGAGTTGTTAACCAGGCAAGTGGGAGCCCGTGTTTCTCTCAGTGTTATGAGTGGCTTTTCATATTTCATGTGCAATTTTAACACCTACTACAAACTAACTGCTCTAATAAATGTCAGTGTGTGTGTGTTTCAGTCCAACTCCCCCTATACATATGTGTATCCCCGCCCCCTTTGGGAATTACATGCTCATATAGTTGTTTTGGGCAAACATTAAGCAACAACATCGTGTTGCATATTCATAAAATTCAACTCTTCATGTTAGCTGGGTGTTTTTTTCGGGGGCGGGTGTGTGTGTTTATGGAAATGTGTTGGTTCCTCCCCTCTGCTGTTGTCCAAAAAAAAAACAATTTTCATTGCATTTGGGGATGGTGTTGCTGCTACTGCATCGGCAAATTGGAACGAATCACTTTTTATTGCATACTTTGGTGGGCGGGAAAACATGGAGGGTGGGCGAACCTTATATCGCATGATTGAAAAGATTCGCCAGCTCAATCGGGTTTAAAAATGCAATAAACTTGGCCAAGTGCAGCGGGATTTTTGATTAAATGGAAGGCTTTTACCGAGCTCTATTTTAAATAAAATTTAGATTTATAGACCTTTCCCTTCCCTTACCTTCCCTTTGTTGTATTTTTCATAATTCTTAATTCTATCCCTTTTTCATTTTCATATATAAATCAAATATATTTTTGGACACACAACGTCTGACCTTAGCACATTACTTGCTTGTCAAAAACATCCAACACACAAAGCCTATAAAATTTGTACACTTCTGTTGCATATTTTCGCAATTGGCTTGAGTTGTCGTTGCTGCTCTCGCTTTTATCTGCCAGCTTATCGCAGCCATCATGAGATTTGGCGTAAATTGTCAGAGCCAGCCAGTCCCAACTTCCAATTTTGGCCCCAGTGCATTTCCTTTGCTTTGGTTGTCCCTCAGCTGAGCAAGGGAAATGACTGAGAAAAATAATATAAAATGTTTAGGACATACAAAAATAAATGAATAATTAAAACAGAAATTTGATAAGCACATAAATGTATGTTCAACCACTAAAAGGATTATTTTTAAGGGAGCTGATCAATGTAAATAATTCTAAGAATACTCAAAATAAGACTTAAGCTCTAAAAAATATATATAAATATGACTTTTAATATTGTATTTAAGTCTGAAATGAAATAAATATTTTTTATTTTTCTTTACAAATATTTGTAATATTTATTCGTTTTTAAAACCTATATTCTAAAATTTTAAAAGCTGTGACTGTGTTTTTCTATATCTTTAAGCTAAATAATTTGTTTAATTTATCAAATTCATTATGTCCTTAAATAATCTCAAAAGATATGTAAAATGCTTATGTTTTATTTTTTCATTAAGGTATCTTTTTATTAATATTTATTTAATATTTTATTACTAGGTTACTAGTTGGTCACTAGACGTTGAAAATTAGGTTTACACAATACTGACTTAATTATAATATTTACATAGTACCTTGTTACCAAATGGTTATTTTAATCTATAAAATTAACTAGCACCTTTAAGAATCCCCAGTTAAATACAAAATTCTTCTCAGTGTAGGGCAGCTGAAAGCAGAAAGATAAACGCGATTCTGGCTGTCGAAGCCCTTAGTCCATTGCTGATAGCCTGCTCACGTGCAGAGTCTTCGGCTCCCCAACACACGCACACTCGCACACTCGCACACCCGCCGGCACACCCGCAACCACACACACACTCACACAGGGGCACACGAAGGGGAGCTATTGGATTTCCGGCGGAGATGAGAGCACTCTCCGTGGGCGGGAAAAGGGGAGTGGCGGGCGGAGTCTGGGAGAGCCGGGAGCTGTGTTGGTGGCCACCAGCATTTTCCGATGTTGCCGCTTCAAATGTAAGTGTGCGTATGTGTGTGTGTCTCGGCGGCTGACGTCATTGAGCTTTTTATTGATTTTCATTTTAACCAAAAAGCAAAAAAAGAAAGAGAAGAACTCTGGCAAGCAGAAGAAGAAGATTTACTTGGGCTAGGACGAAGGGCAGGAAGGCCAACAGATGTCATCCAAGATGGAAAAAGGGCTTCTTAAGGGGGGTTTTTCAGCTGGTTTCCCCTTTTCTGAGTAAATGGTAAACACTAATAAAACAGCACCCACATTTGCTTAAAGATAACTTCCATTGTTCAACATAGAAGTAAATAAAATAGCTTCAAATCTAATACTTCTCCTGCAATATGTAATCATGTAATTTAATTTGTTGTTTGCATTCAGCTCAACTGCGTAATCAGGCTGTTTATGTAAGAGTACACATATAACCCAATGTATTTTGATTTTTCTATTATTGTTTGGCAAACAATCGTTATGGCTGATTTTGTTATTTTTGTTGCCCGGTGAAAGCCATCGGAAATTAGGACTATTTGCATAGGAAATTGCAGAAGAGTTGGCTGTGGAATTGTGCGTACTCAAGTTGAAAGAAATTATAATTACTTCCTTCGGAATGAAAGATAGGTAATTCGATGATAATAATGGCAAGTTGATAATTACATTACATTTGCATTTAAGTGAAGAAATTAGTTAATTAATAAACTAAAATAAGATTAGTCCTTCAAGCGCTCATTTTACAATTCTTAAAGTTGCAACTTCTATCCTTTCTCGTCTCCTATTCCTTCTATTATCCCTTTATTTCTTTCCTTTCCTGCCTTTAAAAAAAAGATAAGGAAAATTCTAGGTTTTTCAAGTTATTGAAAAAAGGCGCCATACTTTCTTCATCTCCTTTTCACCTCTCTTTTCGCGACACATCCTTCTCTCCCTTTTCTTCTCCTATTTTTTATATTACCCATTCTCGTTCTTCTCTGTTCCTACACTTTAATAGGAGCTAAGAAATTCAATATTTTTGAATCAAGGCGCCATTCGTTCTTCCTCTTCCATGAACAGGAGTCATATTTTTCCTGATCTGGTAACACCAACATCCTCTTTCTCTTAAGATGATTCAGCATTTTTTAGGTCTGGCAACGCTTGATTCTTTTAATTTCAGAGAAATTTTAAAATATGGCTTATGTCCAGACTACATGTCGTATTCGCCCCAATTTGGCGAATCCAAGGCCACAACCGAAAACAATCCAATTCGCTTATACAGCCAAGACAACCACCTAACTACAAATGTTGTTAGCCGGTTGAGCAACCATGTAATATGTTAAAAGCAGTTTCCACTGGATCGCTTCCGAAATGTACATTAATCACCGACGCGTTAATGGCAAGCAACATGGTGTGATTTCCAAATAAGACGATTTTTTTGTCTTTCCTACGTCTTACCGAATGTGAGCACAAAAACTCATTTCCACATTCCATAACTAGAGGTATTGGATCTCGATTTTGATGTGGGATACCTTTATGAATTTGTGGTTGAATTCTCTAACAATCTACATTCAAATATTTGCTTTAAAAGAGGGTCTCAATTTTAGCCCATTTTCATGTTCGATTTTTCCGTAATTCCAATGGCTGTCAGAATGGGGACCCAAAACTGCACTTCTAGATTCCATAATTTCGGTAATTTGATTCCGATTTAGACGTGGGATACCTTTATGAATTCGTGGTTGAATTCTCTAATAATCTACATTCAAATATTTGCTTTAAAAGAGGGTCTCAATTTTAGCCCATTTTCATGTTCGATTTTTCCGTAATTGCAATGGCTGTCAGAATGGGGACCCAAAACTGCACTTCTAGATTCCATAACTTGGGTAATTTGATTCCGATTTAAACGTGGGATACCTCTGTGAGTTTGTGGTTAAATTCTCTAATGATTTTCATTCAAATATTTACTTTAAAAGAGGGTCCCAATTTTAGTCCATTTTCATGTTCGATTTTTCCGTAATTCCAATGACTGTCAGAATGGGGACCCAAAACTGCACTTCAAGATTCCATAACTTGGGTATTTTGATTCCGACTTGGACGTGGGATACCTTAATGAATTTGTGGTTGAATTCTATAATAATCTACATTTAAATATTTATTTTATAAGGGGGTCGAAATTTTAACTCATTTTCATGTTCGATTTTTCCGTAATTCCAATGGCTGTCAGAATGGGGACCCAAAACTGCACTTCTAGATTCCATAATTTCGGTAATTTGATTCCGATTTAGACGTGGGATACCTTTATGAATTCGTGGTTGAATTCTCTAATAATCTACATTCAAATATTTGCTTTAAAAGAGGGTCTCAATTTTAGCCCATTTTCATGTTCGATTTTTCCGTAATTGCAATGGCTGTCAGAATGGGGACCCAAAACTGCACTTCTAGATTCCATAACTTGGGTTATTTAATTCCGATTTGGACGTGGGATACCTTTATGAATTTGTGGTTGAATTCTCTAATAATCTACATTTAAATATTTACTTTAAAAGAGGGTCCCAATTTTAGTCCATTTTCATGTTCGATTTTTCCGTAATTCCAATGGCTGTCAGAATGGGGACCCAAAACTGCACTTCAAGATTCCATAACTTGGGTATTTTGATTCCGACTTGGACGTGGGATACCTTAATGAATTTGTGGTTGAATTCTATAATAATCTACATTTAAATATTTATTTTATAAGGGGGTCGAAATTTTAACTCATTTTCATGTTCGATTTTTCCGTAATTCCAATGGCTGTCAGAATGGGGACCCAAAACTGCACTTCTAGATTCCATAACTTGGGTTATTTAATTCCGATTTGGACGTGGGATACCTTTATGAATTTGTGGTTGAATTCTCTAATAATCTACATTTAAATATTTACTTTAAAAGAGGGTCTCAGTTTTAGCCCATTTTCATGTTCGATTTTTCCGTAATTCCAATGGCTGTCAGAATGGGGACCCAAACTGCACTTCAAGATTCCATAACTTGGGTATTTTGATTCCGACTTGGACGTGGGATACCTTAATGAATTTGTGGTTGAATTCTATAATAATCTACATTTAAATATTTATTTTATAAGGGGGTCGAAATTTTAACTCATTTTCATGTTCGATTTTTCCGTAATTCCAATGGCTGTCAGAATGGGGACCCAAAACTGCACTTCTAGATTCCATAACTTGGGTTATTTAATTCCGATTTGGACGTGGGATACCTTTATGAATTTGTGGTTGAATTCTCTAACAATCTACATTCAAATATTTGCTTTAAAAGAGGGTCTCAATTTTAGCCCATTTTCATGTTCGATTTTTCCGTAATTCCAATGGCTGTCAGAATGGGGACCCAAAACTGCACTTCTAGATTCCATAACTTGGGTAATTTGATTCCGATTTGGACGTGGGATATCTTTATGAATTTGTGGTTGAATTCTATAATAATCTACATTTAAATATTATTTTATAAGGGGGTCGAAATTTTAACTCATTTTCATGTTCGATTTTTCCGTAATTCCAATGGCTGTCAGAATGGGGACCCAAAACTGCACTTCTAGATTCCATAACTTGGGTTATTTGATTCCGATTTGGACGTGGGATACCTTTATGAATTTGTGGTTGAATTCTCTAATAATCTACATTTAAATATTTACTTTAAAAGAGGGTCTCAGTTTTAGCCCATTTTCATGTTCGATTTTTCCGTAATTCCAATGGCTGTCAGAATGGGGACCCAAAACTGCACTTCTAGATTCCATAACTTGGGTTATTTAATTCCGATTTGGACGTGGGATACCTTTATGAATTTGTGGTTGAATTCTCTAATAATCTACATTTAAATATTTACTTTAAAAGAGGGTCTCAGTTTTAGCCCATTTTCATGTTCGATTTTTCCGTAATTCTAATGGCTGTCAGAATGGGGACCCAAAACTGCACTTCTAGATTCCATAACTTGGGTTATTTGATTCCGATTTGGACGTGGGATACCTTTATGAATTTGTGGTTGAATTCTCTAATAATCTACATTTAAATATTTACTTTAAAAGAGGGTCTCAGTTTTAGCCCATTTTCATGTTCGATTTTTCCGTAATTCTAATGGCTGTCAGAATGGGGACCCAAAACTGCACTTCTAGATTCCATAACTTGGGTAATTTGATTCCGATTTGGACGTGGGATACCTTTATGAATTTGTAGTTCAATTTTCTAATAACCTACATTTAAATATTTATTTTAAAAGAGGGTCGAAATTTGAACCCATTTTCATGTTCGATTCTTCCGTAATTCCAATGGCTGTCAGAATGGGGACCCAAAACTGCACTTCTAGATTTTATAACTTGGGTAATTTGATTCAGATTTGGACGTGGGATACCTTTATGAATTTGTGGTTGAATTCTGTAATAATCTACATTCAAATATTTACTTTAAAAGAGGGTCTCAATTTTAGCCAATTTTCATGCTCGATTTTTCCGTATATTCAATAGTTTTTAGAATGGGAGCCCAAAACTGTACTTCTAGATTCCATTACTTGGGTAATTGGATTCCGATTTGGACGTGGGATACCTCTTTGAGTTTGTTTCGAATTCTCTAATGTTATACGTTAATAAGTTTCTTTTATGCGATGTTCAACTTTAAAACCCATTTTTATGGGTTCTATAAGCGGTTAAGATAGCTATAGAAGTATCTAATTTCAATAGTTAACATAGGTAATTATCGGTTAACATAGCTATTTAAATACCGGTTAACAGTGGGCAAGACGGGAATCCCAGAGTGTGACCATGCTGAAGTCCCGCGAAATTCCACAACCTGCTGCATTTCCAGGGGGTTTCCCGAACGGTCCTACCATCCCCAAGAGCGCAACAAGTGATTCTGTTTATGTTTTCGACAGCTCAAATTCTCTCTCTCATCTCTCTCTTCGCATCTTGCATCTCCCTTTTTTACTGACACTTACGCTGAGGCTGTCTCCCTTTTTACTGACACTTACGTTGGCTTACGTTTTGCTGACACTTACGAAGCATCTTGCATCTCGCTTTTTTACTGACACTTACGCTGAGGCCGTCTCGCTTTTTTACTGACACTTACGTTGTCTTACGAGAACTCCGCTCTCTGTTTTGCTGTTTTGTTTTGTTTTGTTTTTGTTTTGGTTTTTGGTTTTTTGAATTTTTGAATTGGGATTGGGAAATTGGGAAGGAATTTATTGCAGAATGATTTTTTGATGAGCAAAATAATAAGGCAATTTCGAGCAATAAGAGAAGTCTTGGACTGATCGACGAAGCACCCGGCGGAAGCCATGCCAAGCGCGAATGGATGGAGGACCTGCTGGATGGACGCAAGGAGGAGCTCTTGGGACACAGGCGGCGGAGACAGGCAGCAACTGGGACTTTTTGTCGACACATCTTTCTCAGAAAGGGCCTCTAGAGGGACCCTAGAGAGATCCTACAAACCCAGCGAAACCAGTGCTCCAACTGATGACGGTCTTGGCGGTCATCACTCGGGACTGACTACGGACGAGAGGAAGTACATTGAGACTGCCTATCGCTTTGGCAGCCAGCTCACCGGAGTGGACACGAGAATCTCAACCTAAGGAGGACAGCCCGCCGAAAATCTACACCTGCTGCATCCAGACTTTCTGCATTGACATTATTGCATTGTGTATGTTATGTTTGTAATCCCTTTAAGCTAAAAAAATGCAGAAAACGTTTATTGTTTATTTTTTATTTTTATTTTGATTATTTATTTTATTGCTGCTGCTGGTTGCCCATGCGCAACTCATCGAAGAGAAATCCTTAAACTGTTTCTGGAATCTTTGCTGAAAGATAATTGTAAAATTTATACTAGGAAACTAAGACAATTTTCAAATAAATAAAATGAAATAAATAAGCGTAAAAATAAACATAAAAATTAAGAGGGACTTCCAAAAATGTAGAAACAAAGCGAAACAAAAACTGTCCGGTCTACCGTACTTTCCTTTGGGAATGTAAAAGATCGCTGATGAGGGGGTTGGTGTCTCCCGAAACAGTTGTTGCTTACTTTCTTCCTACTTTTTTTAACTTTTTTTAGGAGCTCCTAAGTAAGAAGTAAGGTGAAGTTTGGTAAAATATTCCTAAGTGCCTAGCACCAGATTGTGTGTATTTTCATATTTAACATATAGCTGGGCTGGTGTTACGCATCTCGAGAAATATATCGACGAGTGATAAAATAAAGGGACACGGCAATTATGATTTTGCATTTTAATTTTTAAATTTTATCAACATGGGTTTTAGTACGTTACGTTTTGCCGACACTTACGTACTACGTAACACGCGCACAGCAGTTCGGTTCAAACAAACAGGCAAACAGTGCAACAGTTCAAAAACGGAACCGAACGTGAGCGGACGTGTGCGGACGCGTCGCTGCCGGAAAATAAGTTGCGTCGGCGTTGCGCGTTGTTACTGAAAGTGTGTGCGAGAAGGGCGCGCTCCTGTGTGTTGGTGTTGTTGTTGTTGTGGCCCGTCGTTCGTGTTTCGAAATACCGCATTGTTTAATTACAGCATTACAGCCGCAGCGGCTAATTTCAATGCAAACAAAAGCTAGTGTGTGAATGAAATTATGCTAAAATAGATAATACCAGAGGTAAAAAAACAAGAAAACAACATAGTAATAACAGCAAGGAGAAGAGGAAGAGAAGTTCTGCAGCGCGGTTGCGTCGGCGCAGCAGCGGAGTTCATGTCCATGTGTGTGTGTAGTGGTCCGGCAGGTTTTTTTTCGGGCTCTGTTTGTGTGCGTGTTTGCGAAGCAACAATTTAATTGCTATTCAATTTTAAAAGCAGTTCAATTGCAAACCATTACAAATATGTAATTCGCTGTCGATTGCATTTGCATTGGAGTGCGTAATTGCATTTTTGAGCCACAAAACACAAACAGTGCAACTGTTGCTAGGGCACTGAGAGAAAAACATACATAGTATTTTTAAACTTATATACAAAATATATAATATTTACAAAATATAGGAATTTATCGGGAAAAGTTAGAAAACATACGTTTTTAGTACTTTAAGCATGAATACTTGATCTTACAACAAGATGATGTTGAAAACAAGATAATAAATCACAAATCAATATTGTAATATCACCAGATCTATAAATTTGTATATCATATCTGCATCTTGTTTTCCCGTGTGGTGTGGCGTAATCGTAATCTTTGTGCCCCCTTTTTAATGATTTAATTAAAAGCGTAAATTGCAGGCCGAAATTCAATTTGTCCGTTTGACTTTTCAGTTCGTGTGGGTGGCATATTCTCTGACATTGGGTAGTAGTATTTTTATTTTTTTGTTGCCGCCGCCGTTGCACACACACTCACGAAGTAATTAAGTACGTGCGTCGCGTGCCGTTTTGAATTTTCTTTTTCATTTTCGCTTTTGGGCCGGAAAATGTTCTCTTCTCTTTTCGCGTTTATTTGCATTTCCATCAATTCGAAATTCGACTCGTATAACACAATAAAAATCGAAAAAACCAGTTGACCGTGAGATAGTTTCGTGCATAATTGCTAAATAGCAACAAAAAAATAAAAGAAAGAAATAAAAATATATGTGAATGATTGAATTGCTGAAATATTTAGTGTTTCTGTGTTTTTCTCTCTCCCTTCTATGTATGTGTGTGTTTGCTTTGCCCTTCGTCAATGAATAACGGCAGTTTGCGAGGTGCGAAGTCGAAGAAGAAGCAGAGCAAACAACAACAAATTGCCATCACCTTTGTCAGCAGAGAAAAAAAGGCAAAAAGCAACAACTAAGCCGGCATTGGAGGAGGCAAGAAGAAGAAAAACGCAACTGCGACGTCAGCAGAGTGGGAGAAGAAGAAGCAGCAGCAGCAGAGGAGCCTTGGTGGCCACATTCCAGCGTCATCAGCCGGCGGAGGCCGTCGCAGCCGCCAAACCCGGGTCACCGAAATTCTTTCTTTCGCCAACGACCCCCCTGCCCCCGAAGAAGAAGCAGAAACAACACCAGGGGGTAAGTCAACTTTGATGGTACAGCGATCCCTCGATAAGTGTTAAACGGTTTACGTTTGACTTTAAGAAGCTTAGGCTAACCCCAGGTGAACTCACCTTTCAAACTCTATGACGCATAATCAAACCGGTTTACCTTTTATTATCTCACTTATAAGTCCAAAAACAATTTAAGATTTGAATACATTTCTCTTCTTTATTTAAATAGGTTTTAATTTGGCGTCACTATATTACTTAAACTATAAAACCATTACTATATTGGAAACTTGTTGAGTTATCAACATTGATATTAAAAACAGTCACTTCATTTTTCTTTTGTACTTATATTTATTGAAACTATAATATAAAAAACTGTCCTGAACAATATTTTATTTTATTTTTAATTGTATAAAATTGTATCAATTTGATAATTGTAAGATATTACAATAGGACTTAATAAAATTTCGGGAATATTTTTTTTTTTTTTACAAATTTACATAAAATAAATGCTATCTTGGGATGCAAATGGATGAACCTTTTTTTTTAACATCACAACATATTATAATGCGAAGACTTAAGAATCCTGCAGAATATTTTCATTGATACCATTATTACCATTAAAAAATGTTGTTCTTGAAAGAGAGAAACCGCCTTAAAGCCCATAGTAAGATTTTCATTGTTTTAATAATATTTTAGGATGTATTTCCTTTAAAAACTATTTTTGTTTTAAAAATGAGATTTTAAACTGTTATGATTATTCCTTATAATGAGTGCAGATCCTCTGAGCCCACTCCACACTGTGGAGATAGTGAGTACATCAACGTCAATGTTGCGCTGCCATTCTTGTGCGGCTCCCTCCTTCCGCCTTGGTGTTGTTGCTGTTGTTGTGTCACGCCCTCCGCCATGAGAAAACATTTTTGCGTAGAAATTACATATTGTTTCGTTTTCACATCCCAGCAACCCGATCCCCGCCCACCTTGCCACCTTACCAGCTTGCCCCACTGGGTTTTTTTTGGTAGCATGGTTACTGGGCTGCTAAACCTCTTTTCCGCCCGATACCACCGTTCCCCGTGTATTTTTATGGGTCGTCATCCATCGTTGTTCTGCCAAGCGCCGGTGGAAAGCCCCTGGCCCTCCATTTCCACCTCTATATCTGTATCTCCATCTCCATACTCCATACTCCACCTCCCGCAACAACCCAGGGCATCGCTTTCTGCTCATCAAAGCACAAAAACATCCAACGGCGGCTGCCTCAATTATGTTAATTATGAATTGCTCCCCGGCTGTCTCTGTTCCAGTACGGGTTTTTGTTTGGGATGGTATGGTATGGTATGGGATGGTATAGTACGGTATGGGATGGGTTGGGTCTGGGGCTCCAAGTAAAGCTGTGAGCTCAAGTCAAGCGGCTAAGTGGGCTTTTGGGTTGGCACCTGGCGCCGAGGTCGCCAGTGTAACCCAAATTCGAGAGTATTTCGCATACTTGATTTGAGCCAATGCCAAAAATTGATTCATCTCCGCTCGCTTGATGATCTTTTAATGGTCCATAAACCTAATTTAAGACCCTGCCGCCGATCCCATGGCAATGAACTTGAGCCATCCGAATTCCGCTGAGAGTTCAATCTTTCGCTAATTTATCTAATGAGTCGTTTGAGTTGGCAGGGGACTACTTATATATGTAGTTCCCAAAACAAATGTGATTATGTGGCAAATATTTGTGTTATTATACTCGATTTTTGTTTATGCTCGTAAAAGTTAATGATGTTTTGATTGGAAGGTGAAATTATGAAAACTAAATGGTTTAGTATTAGAGTAAAATTATTCTTTTGAATAATTCAATAAAGATTAAGAAGAAAAATGATATAACTTAATCTATTTTGACTTATTAAGTCAAGTCAAATTAGTTGTCGTGTTCAGAACAATATAACAATTAAAATCATTCTACTTTTGTTTAATATATATTTCTTATCCCATATTTTTGTCAACCCGCATTTAACCCCTTTGTCCTCTTTCTTTTAAATTACAATTTATCGCAGATTCAGCTGCAACAGCAACAATAGATCAGGAACAGCCGCTGAGACCGCAATATTCCCTGGCTTACTTCAATTTTATCCGCCACTGGAAATTTCGTAATTTCCAAATCACAATATTAATGCAGGTCCCCCTCCAACAATGGGAAAAATGTTGTTGTTTGTTGCAACCCGAGGAGCGAGAGCTGGAAAAGTGGCTGCTTCTTTTTTCATACTTTGTTTTTTTCTTTTTGGAAAACCTTTTAACAATGGGAAACTTGCCCAAACCGACGTCGACCGTCGGAACTGCGTCCAAACTGCTTCTCGCTGTTGTTGCCAAAAGCAAGCCGGAAGATATTTCAGACTGGCTTGCAACCGGGCCTTTAAAGGGGGGCGGTGTGGAGGGGTGTAGCCGGCTGGATGGGTGCTGCTATAGGCGGGTTCCATGTTTAGACAGAAACAAGTTTTATGCTTTGGCAATGATGACGCTAGAGCAGTGACTCCAATCCCGACTCTTCGCGACTCTGACCAGTCCAGTCCAGTCCATCGGCTTCTGTGGCCAGCCGCCTCCGTTGTTGCTGTTCTTGGCCCACACTATTCAGTGGGGAACAGTGCCCCCTTTTAGGCCGCCTCAATTGCGATTCCCGGCCCGAAAACCAGACCCGGTCTGCTTCTGCTCCCGAGTGCACTTCGTATTGTATGGTTCAGTGGTGGTGATGTGGTGCAGCCGCGTTGTGTAGTTTTGAACTAGTTGCGTTGCGGTGTTTCAAATCAAGTCGAACTTAGAGATGGTAGTTTCTATAAAAAGGGTTCACACGGGGAATCATCACCAGAAAAGAATATTATAACTGAATTATATTAGTTAGGAAAGATTATAAACTCATTGATGATATTATAATATAGTTAAAATAGGGCTATTCTGTTCCTAAATATAATATTTGATCTATAAGAACCTGTGATCATGTTTTTATAGCCTAGACAATTATCTCTACCTAAATACAAAACCATTTTATTTGATAAATATATTACAATCTTTGTACTAATATTTATCTTAAATCTATGTTCTATCTATAATACAGATTATTGGTTCTCTATATATACAACTCTTGCTAAAACTTGAAAAATCAACGGAGAACCCAAAATAGTAATATTAAAGTATTTAAGTTCTTAATCCGCCGTGTAGGATGCTAGGAACTAATTATGCTCCAAGAAACCCAATCCTGATACATCACTTGTAAGAAAGGCCTGAACCTAGTCCTGTAATATAATGCAAGCATATATGCTACCCCTATCTCGATCCATCACGATCAAGAACCCCAACCATCTCTAATCCAATCATTACGCTTGCTCTACCCACCAATCCACCTCATACATAGTTCACCCATTACCTCGGCACCTCTGCGCCCCTTTCCCCTGGGGTCTGTCGCACTTTTTGGTACTGTTCACAATTTGGAAATTAACTGGTTTGGTTGTTTTTGGCCCGGGAATCCTGTCTGGGCCGCAACGCTTTCTAGCCATTTGTATTGTTCGACGGCGTCGAGACGGACAGCTCTATACATATACTATATATATATATATATGGATGTGTGAAGGATAAAGTGGGCTTAAAGTTTTCCTGGGCTCACTTTTAGTTGGTTCTTTTGGGGCGTTGAGGTTTTCGACCGGACCGTCTGGGATAGCCCCGAAAAACTTTTACCAGCCAAAAGTGGGCGGTTACGCTTAGAAAAAGGGGTGTGTTGCAATAGAGAGGGGGGGTAGTTGGTGGAAGTCGGCCATTCAGCCGCGACAGGAAGACAGCTCAGGAAGGAAGTTCATTTTGTGCAACTTAACGCTTTTCCCCTCACTCTTTCTGGTTTGAGACCATGTCTGGCCTGCATCCCACTCCTCATTCCCCTTCCTTTCACTTTGAATAGGCTGCGGAGATCAGATATAAGACTTGATGGCCGGTTAAGATATAAAAGAGTTACTGTCTGTAATAAGCAAGTAAAATAAGCTGGCTAATCGTGCGATCAAACTGAAGTTGCGTTTAAAATAGAGAGAAGTATTTCATTAAATGAATTGAAACTTTAAAGCAGTGTTTGCCAGAAGAAGCCAACACAAACAGTGTGCAACTGAGTATATTTCTAACGATCTTTGATATACACTTCATAGGTAAACTTTATTTAAATTGCTTACTTAAGTTTACAAACCATTTTTTATCTTAACCAAATTTGTATCACCTGAAAATTCCAAAAATAATATCCAATCGCATTTGGCTTATACTGGATGACGAATACTTTTCCTCATCCTTTTTATCTGCAACCTGCCCGCAGTGCATTTGTGCCAAAAGCAATTTGAAGAATTTCTTATCGGAATTTATGATCCGCCGCACCTTGGAGCACATAAATCAAACCATAAACTAGAGACAGTCGCAGGAACATATGCGGCTATGATGGACCATGCCATGGAGAGCGGTTGGCTAAATTCGCTGGCCACTAATCCCCCATTCTGCCCCACTCTACTCCCCTTTATCACTGCCGGTTAATGGGAATCCGTGGATGAGAAACAGGCAAATTGCCCGGTTTTGGCATCAGCGGCACTCACATAGATACACACACTAATACGCCCGCACACTCACTAAATTTTTAATCAAGCTTGCCAGCAGCTGTGATTCCGCTGGTGGAAGCCATTTTGGAGCTGCCTCCGCCCCTGCCACTCCCATTCCCCCCTCCCCTAATGTTCGTCCTTGGACGAAAGCGCAAAAAATGCAATCAACGTCAAATGCGCTTCGAAACTTTGTGCAAAATAATAGAAAAGCCATTAATTTCACTTCTCGTCGAAGATGTTACGAGAATCGGGCTAAAATGCGGGTAAAAAAAATTGGGGGGCGGTATGTCTGGGCGTGGCCTGGACATATGGCGACATAGCCTGAAAAAAAACAACGTAGAAATAGGGGAACCGAAAAGAAAGCAGAATGAAAGCTGTGCCAAGGAAAAGTAATTTTTAATTATGCGCATAACGTGAGTCAAACTTTGATTGG